CCAATCGAGTTTAACTGTGGTCACTTATCTATGTTACTTGACATCATGTGCACCAGGTTGAATTGTATAGTGGTGGTTGAAGGTGGGTAGCAGCAAAGTCTGGACCTAGGAGCTTACACGCATGACACTGGTCATTGCCGTGTGATCCATCAACTGAAAATTTTGACTATTTGATAACAGTGTATCGTAAGACTGTTACTATGAATACTTTGTAAAAGTACGTTTTAGAGATCAACTGTTATTGTTTCCTACATTTTCTTGCTATTACATACATTTATTCTGATATTATAGTTGTTAGCTTGAAACAGAAATAAACATTTGAAATTTATCAATGTTAGACAACTGTTGAAGGTTTCTTACTGAATTACCTGTGCCCCTCTACCCAAAATGCAGCGTAGGCCGTCGACCAGCATTCCCCATACTACTCTTTCGTTCCATACAATTGCTGCTCATTCTTTTCATGTCTGCAAACGATTACTGGCATCATGTGTTCTTTGGTCTTCTTTTATTTTGTTGGCCTTGCTGATTCCATGTGAGCGCTTGTTCTAAAACGAATTAAAATTGACTGGCAGATCATAAATTTCCTCAGTAATTCCTTTTTTCCAGTTTACCATTTTAAATAGTTTGTTTGACAGTAGTATAGTATATTTGAACATGGAATCGGATGAGAAATTAGTTAAGAAATATACGATGACAAATTCGAAACTTAACACTACCCATTTCTAGTTTATTAAGCAGACACTAATATGTTATATACTTCGTTCTTGATTAAATGTAAATAGGTACAATGCGCTTATCGAGTTGTCGGTTCAATATTTTTCTTCTCAAAATAGTCTCACTTACTGTTCCTCACACTTCATCAATACACAAGGTATCTGCTGACTAAGATATTTTCTCGTCAATTATCTGATTTTTAAGATGAAGATTAGTATGACAATTCAGAATTGGAGTCAAATGAAAAGAAGATCAATGTTAGACCATCGTTAGAAATAATGGAATCATTGAAAGGCGACCGTATCGTTCCGGTATGCGAAAATTCGGCAGTGAGCATCCACGACTTCACGGATTGATCAAAGTTAGACATTCACACTGACTGAATGTCCTGAGTTCGATTCCTGAGAGTTGTACTGCTGATGAGTCCCACACCAGGACGAGACGGGCGTCTTTCAATGCTTCCAGCTTTCTAATTCTGGCCTAACATTGGTCGTTTCATGATGTGAATAAAGTAACTGAACAAACTCCACAAAACTTTCATGTAGAATCAAAAAACACAAAGTTATTTTAAAATTCTCTAATTTTTAGACAGATGAAACGATAAACAAAACAAAATTAGTTTTCATTACTTATCTTCCCTCATTTTATACTCATTACATCATCACATGTGTTTTGATTCATTGTTCAATACATTTAAAAAAAAAGCAATTCAACATTTCATCACTATTCATTTTCACATGTTCATTAATGAGAATGAATATAATACAACAACAACATATCCCATGTGTATATGAAACGATTTTCTCATCAATAAACAAATAAACAATTTACTCTTCTTATTAACCAAAGTATATTGTTTGTGGTTTCATCCTGTTTGGTATTCATTCATTTCACTGTGTGTGATTATTTTTAATAGATAGTCAGGTAGATAGATAGGATAGGTAGGTTAGTAAAGTATGTCAGGCAACCCCCGTTTAAGTTTTCACTAGTATTCATTGTAGTATGATGTGAATATTGTCAACAGGTTTCATGGAATGTTGTATATACTTATTTTTTCTCTCTCTCGTTATTTAACTATTTATTCTCCCTTGTGTTGTTGTTGTTGTTACTTTTGTGAAAAGAAAGCAGAAAGGAATACTCCCATTTGCGAGTATCTACTGAACACGTGATCTCAACCAAACTGATTAACATTATTTGATAAAAATAGGGAAAATACTGAACCACTGGAGCAACAACGTTATCATCTTCAACATGAAGGAAACAAACGACAAATTGGTATGCAAAATAGTCTCTTCAATTTCCGCTTATGTGAAACTGCATGTGTGTGTATGTGTGTAGGCATCCGCTGAAATTGTCGAATATTCCAGTGGTTTGCTTTTCTCTGTTCCACTTGAGAATAACACTGAATGACTTTGATTCTTTGTTTCATTATGAAACAAAGTTACTTTTCATTTCTTTGTCATACACGAAACAACATGAATGAGTGAAGGAATGAATGACTGTCAACCATTATATCATCATTAACTGTTGAGAGAGCAACAGAGACATAGAGAGAGACAGATTAGGGTACCGATTACAGATTTTACGTTTGTGATTGTCTTACTGTATTTCGGTTATGTATGAATATATATGTATATACATATATTGACAAACTTCTATTGAAGTTAAACAGATAGAGGAGTAGTAAAAGAATTCTATTTGTCATGATAATTTTTGTGTTTTTCAAAATCACTAGAGATATACGTGCACAGCGTTGTAACACGTATACCTAGCTGTTTGTATGTATGCTTGAGTGTAGTGTAGTGTCGTGTAAATACGTTAGTACATTGCATAATTAATAGTCACAAGGTGCCATTATTTTTCTATTATGAACATATTAGTTTATTTGTTGTTTCTGTGTTTTTCTGTATTATTAAAGATTTATTTGTAGTGTATAATTATTTCGAAAATAATAACAATAACATTAGTAATAATAAAAATAATATTCATAGTGTGTCAGTTCATTTAATTGGAATAAAAAGATAATTTCTGTTTGCCGAAAAAAGTAAGTAATTTGTTTTTTTTTAACAATAAGATCATATTTTAACTAATTTTTATCTGAAAAATATCATTTATTTCCTTTTTTTAGTATTTTGAAGGCGAATTTAACTCCACCTGGAGCCCTACTAGGGTAACTGCTGCCGTTGCCAAGCCCAGTTAAAGGAGTAGGGGTAGACATGGGGATAGAAACTCCTTATGGTAGAACGCCAACTCGCTAATAATAAGCGCCAACCAGAAAAATGATTCACTAAAGGTGGAGTATGCTCCATTAGGGGTAAGAGGCGTAAAAAATTAAGTAAGTATGTATATAAGTAAGTCAGTAAGTTAGTAATTAAGTAAGCGAGTTAGTGTGTCATTAAGTAAGTTAGTTTATAAGTGAATAAGCAAGTAAGTAGTTAGTTAAGTAAGTGATTAAGTAAGTAAGTTAGTTGGCAAGTAAGTGATTCAGTAATTGAGTTAGTAATAAGTATGTAAGTGAGTTAGTGTATGGGTAAGTAAGCGGATAAGCAATAAGTATGTAAAGTGAGTAAATAAGTAAGTAAGTAAATTATTATTTATTTGGTAACAAATGAACTTGTTAGATCATCAATCAATCATTGTTAGACCACCATTAGAAACCTGGAAGCACTGGACGGCCGTTTCGTCCTGGTTTGGGACCACTGGGCCGGCATCCAACAGTGTTAATGTCTAACTCTGATTGACCAAGCTCGACGATCTGAACTTCGCAGATGACCTAGCTCTTCTATCTCCCACTTAGAGATAACTGCAGCTGAAGGCGGCCAGTATAGTGGTATCAGCCTCTGCAGCAATAGGTCCTCAGATAAACAAGGTGAAAAGAAGGATTATCCGATACAACACAACATGCACCAATCAAATCAGACTTGACGGAAAAGCTTCGGGGGGATTTAGGAACCTTAACATATCAGGGCAAGGTAGATCAGATGCAGATATGAAGACATGCATTAGTAAAGCAAGGGAAGCATTGCTATAATTGAAAAACATCTACAACTAACAGAACAATCAACCAAGCCCAAAGTCACAATTTTCAATACAAATGTCAAGATATTTCTATTGTATGAGGTGGAAAGTTGGGGAACTACAAAAGCCATCATCCAAAGGATACAGGTGTTTGTTAACAGCTGTCTACGCAGCATACTCCGTATCCATTGACCAGATACCATCAGTAACAACCTTCGATCACAGAGAATAAACTGGATTCTAGCTGACGAAGAAATTAAAAAAAAGCACTGGACGTGGATAAGGTACACATTGAGAAAATCACTCAACTGCATTACAAGGGAAGCCTTAGCTTGGAACCCTCAAGGCCGAAGGAAGTGAGGTAGACCGATGGACACACTGCTGAAGATATTGGAGGCAGATATGAAAATAATGGGCAGAAGTTGGTTGAAACTAAGAAAGGATTAGGTTGGAGAATGCTGCTCAACTGTCTATGCTCCATTAGGGGTAACTCGATAATCCCAAAATATACTAGCGATTATTTGAAGACACGGACAATCGAATGCTAATCACCCACAGTTACCTTCCATTCTTAAAGCCTATGTATCACACAAAGATATGCACTCAGTTACTTCAAGCATTGACGCATATGAGCCCTGAAGCAATAGTTTACGTCTAGACGAAGAAAAAAGTGTTCAAAACATAGCAGTATTGTTTTCTAAGGCGATCATAGCATCTTATTTTCTCCGCACTATCAAACAACTATATCATCTGCATATTTTAAGTTAACGAGAAAATCTCCCGGTAGAAGATCTATTCTAGGTAAGTCAGATGATGAAATTATTATTTGTAGAAGAATGTCTCTGACGAAATTGAATAAGAATAAAGAGTGCGGACAATGACGAACACCGCTTGAAGATAACAGATCACAATAAGTTCTAACTGGACTAGTAGTGTTCGAATGTACAAAGTTGATGTACTTCTTTCAATGAGAGTCATTGCCATAAAACCTGTTGATCTACAAAATCTAATGCGGTCTTAAAGTCAAGAAATGCAACAATGGGTGGATATATTTGTCTGTGAAAAAAATTCCTTGAATCAAAACTTAAATCAACTACAGATTATCAACAAATATAAAATCCTATTGATCGTTGAGTTGGTTTCTTTCTAAGTGTCACTAAATATATGAATCAGTTGTTTTGTTAAGTAAAGCTTTATTACACAAGAAAATAGTTTATTAAACAATAAACTGTATATTGTAAACAACAATATCTGTAAGAATTGTGTACAAAAAATACAAAAGAAAACTTCGTTCAATAAAGTTCAATAGAATTACATGCTGTAACTTTCAAAACTTCCATTTGAAATTATTAGTTCCATACTTCAATGACAATTATACTTGTCGGTTTCAATAATAACATTGTATAATTTCATTTTATCGTTGTCTTTGTTAATTTAAAATATATGCGAAATATTCATGTAGAAATAGATATTGTTCCTTAAAAATAAAAAAAGATCAATAGATGAGTGATTATTGTCATTCAGATTGTTATAATTTGATAGGCTTGGAACTATTACGAGTTCACCTTAATCGGTAAACGGAACGAAGATCAATGATTCAGAGACACGATAGACTACTCTAATCCGATCGTCCCACGCCCCACTAACCAGAGGAAGAAGTCTTGATAAGACGTAGTGAATATATTCTACAGACATTCAGAAATGTTGAGGTCCACAAACACACAAATCAAGCTTATTAATACAATTGGTAAAATGCCCTTGGTGGGAGCCACAAAATAGCGTACTAAAATAACCCATCAATCAATGACAGTGAAGGATTTCCGAGTGGGCAATGTAAGCTGAAGCTTAAAATATGCGTCTTTGGCACGAAAATATGAAATTCAAAATTACAACATTAGGATGTTTCCCAAGTGAGTTCTGGCGATCTAATGTCTCCAACATAATTAAACTTTATTTTATACTGGTTAGTTTATTCATATTGTTCTAGTCAATTAAAGATCGACTTTTTTTGTAAGATTTATTTAATAATGATGAACTACTGTAAAACAACTTTAATCAATCAGTCAAGCAATGTTTCAAAACCTAACTAAAACTAATTGCTCCTAACTAATGAATAACAACTTTTCATAACCATAACCATGAAAATAGAGCAGGTTGTTGAGCAGTAAACTCAACCCTTAGTCGAATATCTCTCTAATCCCACTAAGTGATTCAAGTTTTGTTGGGGATGTTAGATCCCCAAAAGTTACTTGAGTAAGGTCCTAATTTTGGATTTTTTATGTTTGCGCGCATAAGTTGCTTAGTTGACCTTCAGCTTACATTTTCCACTCGGAAAATCCTTGTTTGTCATTGGTCGATGGATTATTTTAGTACGCTATTTAGTGGCTCTCCCAAGGATGTTGCTATCATTGATTTACGTGCTTAGCAACCTCGTATTTCTGGGTACGTGTAGAATACATTTTCTACGCCTTATCAAGACTTTTTGATATAGTTAGCGAGGCCTGGGACAGTCGGATTAGAATAGCCTATCGTGTCACTGCATCATTTGTCTTTGCTCTCGTTACCGAGTAAGGTGAACTCGTAATAGTTTCAAGCATATCAGTTGGCGAGCATATCAAGTTTGTAAAAGTAAGACGATCTTAACGATTCCTTTCCGGGATTCGATCAGATACTAACTTACTAAAGTTGATGAAACGTTCAAGATAATAAGTGATCGATGCATTCACTATCTTTAGTTCAATCATAGATGCTTACAAGTCTTAAAACAATATTTCAGATTTCGATGAAAAGAAACATATTAAAAACATGTTAGCTTTGTTACTGAAATCAATCAGAAGAACGCGTTTTGTCACCGTCTTCAACAAACAGAACTAAATCATTTATTCATATAGACCCGGGATTATTCAAGACAAAAAAACTTATTCAACATGAAGGCATAAAAAGATATCTTAAAAAATACAATAGAAGAAGATCGAAACTACATCTTTAAGAGTGATCGATTTGAAGCCACATTTTAGCTGCGTTTTCCAACTACTAGCTTTTTTTACATCCAAAGATTTCAACCGAATGATTCGTTAATGGTTAAAATGAATATCACGCTCTAAACTTATCAATACAGTGTAATACCGTACAATAAAACATATATTTTATGTAAATTTAAAGTTACGTTCAAAGTATCAAGGTAAAATATTTTGAGTGTATTGTTACTGAAACACTACTTAATGGTAAATTATTCCGTAAGATCATGGATACTACCTCTAACTCAGGTCTCACCATATGGTCGAAAAAATCATTACCCGACATCAGACAAAGGGTAATAAGAGTGTTTGAGCCCATTTGCATCAAAGTGGGCTATATCTCTTGCTATCGCATGCCATATTATGTGTATACCATATGCTATAGAGTTGAAGGTCTGCTATGAGACCAGAAGTTCGCTATGAACATTGTGGATGGCTTGGCATTACTTTGGCAAGTATTGCTAACAGTCGATATACAAAATCGTTTAGCAGGGTGACCGATTTCATTGATACTGGTGGTTGTTTTGTAACATTCCCGAAGGCCATTGTCATACGGGTGCTGTATTGCATATCACCATTGCCAATAATAATGATTTTGACAGTCATGTAAGCGGGATGGGTCAGATTTGTCCGTTCATGAGGTGCATATTGAATGACACGATCATGAATCGGAAATAATCACCATACATGTACGAGTGTATATAAATGGTGTGAATGGTCCACCAGGATGTTAGGTACGTGTGTAGTGGTTGCAGTCTCCCTGAACTGTTCATGTTGAAATGTTAACATGTGAGCAATCTCCTTGGCTCTCTGGAAGACCAATAGAGAGTTAAGTTATATAATAATTCTGTAAGATCAATTATGGTATAATATCCTCTGTTTGTTTTATAATAATATCTGCGAAAAAAACAAGTTCTCTAGTTTTGATGTACATGATCTGTGATTAGTGTTGATGTAAATTGTAAATATGACTTGGAAATTTTCATTATCAGTGATGTTTCTAAATTTAACTAGTAAAGTAAGTTCCATCTGGATAGTCACTTATCATGCATAGATCACATTTCTCAGATCAATTACGTCTTCTCACTGTTCTATCAAAATTTATAAAAGGGACAAATTGTTTTAAAAATGAGAAAACTTACTTTCAATTCAACCATACAATGACGCCAAAGTCGTAGCATTAAAACAATACTTGGTAGACTAATCCATTGACATTTAGATCGAAGATGTCTGCGGGCAACAAGTACACTGATGAATGTTCCAGTTCGACCAACTCCAGCGCTAGAAAAAAAAATCCGAATGATGAAATGATAACGTTGATTCGAAATAATGTAAAAAAGTAAATAAAGTTTAGTTAGGGATTATGAAACATGCTTGTTGTTTGAGAGTCATAGAAATTTAGGAGATTAGAACTGATTTTGAACTAGTAACCACTAGATAAGTCGTAATCTTTGACTATTGCGAAGAAAATGTTAGTGCAATCAATAATCAACTTTTAAACAGCTTAAGTAAACAATTTGTACATGAAAAACTGTTTCGTTCATTAAGCAACGAAACTGAATATGAATCACTTGTTATATCGAATCAGATTGATTTACACAATCACCGTTTATCTCTGTCTACAGGTCCGAACACGTGGCCCAGATTGTGCTCAATGCATAGTGGTAATAAAGTATTCTTTTGCATTAATGACGTCGAATTCTTTTTTATTTCCATCTATCTTTTTAGAAGAAGCATGATATGCTAAACTTAGAATTTCGTGTATTCCTTAAATTAATTTCGGATTTCATAAGACTGTATATCATATATATGTGTATATAGTGGTACCTATTGAAACCGAGATAGATAGCCAGGGACTCTAACCTACAATACAGCTGTTGGGCTTACAACATAATGATCATTAAACCACTGCTTATTCATAAGTACTAGAGAACCTGGCACATGTGGTGATGGAAAATATTAGGCACAAATACCATGATTCAATGAAAATGAATGGATTCGCAGAATAAAACAACAAGGAAATTTTAATAAGCTCAATATCTAAGGTAAGAGAGAGAGTGAGTGCATCTACACCTTTGTGAAACATGTCAACTGACGTCTTTCATCACTGGTAACGATAACCGTGAGAACGACACCAACATGGTCTCCTGGAACCATCAATATTTACTGAACCCAGGAGACCATGACTTCATGAAGTAATCTCGTCTTTTGGTTTGTCCATCTCTAGCTTCCTCTCAATATAGTCCTACACTAGCGTCCAGGAGTGCTAGGATATTCACCAAATATCCTAAGAGTACTATTTTTGGAAGTATAATCCTATTGGTCGAAATTATGGTCGTTTTAACTGTCTAAGTCAATGTTGTCTCTGATTGGTCTTCCGGACTGTCAATGTCATCTCAAATGTTCTTCCTATTGGCCGTCCTAAACTGTCAATGTCACAGACTTTGATGCTCTTTAATATTCGATCTTAATGTATAAATACGCACTATCTGTAAGCCTTCATGATTCGGATTTCAATTCCGTTTTTTTCTGCCTACCTCTCTTTTGTACTCGACCCAATAAACAACTCCATCCCACGGTGTTGCGTTCTGATATATAGGAGATTTGGAAATAGCATTTTTGGGTCGTATTGGGATATTTGAATTGGACGCCGCTAAAACTGAATAGCTATACGTAGCAGCGTTACAACAAGGAGGATGGTAGTTGGAGACACGTAATATATGTCTCATCAACTAACTTAGTTGAGCAGTACTTTGAAGTCATCTGTGATCAAATACTAGCAACCTGTATCCCGGTTAATGAGACAAACGGAAACACACTACCATTTGGTATTTGTACTTATGGATCTGTACGACCATCCTGGCAGTTAGTAAAAAAATATCCTGTAATACTAAAAAATCTATTTTCCACTCTTCTTTTTTCTCTTACTCAGTTTAAACATGAAAGATCTTACTTAGTTACCTGCAATGTACAACAGTTGGTCCAATGGAAACTGTAGTAGATTGTTGTTGATTAACAAGAGATTGATAATTCTGTTCATATTCTTTGACAAGTTTATCCATATTCGCAATTGTTGGTACACTAAAATTTTCCCATTCTGTAAAGTGTATTTGAGTTACAATATGTGATTCATTTGAATGATTTGGCTGTTTAAAAAAAAAGAATAAATGAGAAAAATGTAGTGGGTATTAGTTGAAAGGATCATTTAAATACTAAACACAACATTAGTTTTCATAAACACGTGATTTTGTAATCAGTGTAAAAAAAATTGCACAGGACGGTTACAATGTGATTCTAATAAGCTATTTAGAAAACATTGTGTCCATGGTTAACCGATTTGAAAGCAATCGATCACCAACCACTCACCAACGTTATTTACATCTAGTCCCTTAATGCTGCTCGAATTCTATCGACCAGTTTGGAATGAGGCGATTAGTTTACGTGATTTGACATTGATGTTAGTTGGCTGAAGATAGTCGATAGGAAATCCTATTTCGTCCAATTGTTGTATTGGCGGATATTCGTTAGCAAGATGTACCTGTAATCTTCAGTGAACGATCGTCCACTGTGGGATTCGAACCCTCGTCACTCGACTTCACAGTCTGAAACGTTACAAACGATCTATTCAACCCGTGACCGGCCCATAGGATTGAGATATTAACAGTTGATTGGCAGGATATTCCTAAGTAAGGGTAGTTTGTCAGTTTGTAATTGAGTTGAAAGTAAGTGAACAGAATAAAGTGCTCGATTCCTAATAGGTTGAAGACACCCGGAATATGAAACAAATAATAAGACTTGAAGGGTTACTTACTTCTACTAAACTTTTAAGTTCAGATATCGATTAAAAAGTGTACTAATTGTTAATGAATTTCTTAATCTAGCTGATAAATTAATTTAATCAATGAAATGAACTTCTACTTCTATAAGAAACAGACTCTCACAATGCTCAGAATGACAATAAAAGCTGCATGGTTTCAGTCGTTTAGCTCAGAGAACAACATTACTAAGATAACTCATATATTCTACCAGTGATAAGTTAGTAAATTGTTTCGACATTCAGATGGAGAGACTTTCAAAGCAATCTCACATGCCGTCTGGCTTGATCGTTTAGGTATCTTGTATATTTGACTTAGAGAAACAATTTATTTTTATCATATTCAGTAGGTTGGAGAATGCTGGTCGGCAGCCTATGCTCCGATAGGGATAACAAGGGGAAACACACTAGTAAAACCTGAAGGAACACTTCTTTTTGGAAAAAATCTTGCTCAGTCAAATATTTAAGAACCAAATGTTTAGCGCTATCGACTGGTCTACTGTTTTGTGGAGTGTAATTTAAGCTATTTTTATTATACCAATGAAGACTTTAGTAAATAGGGTGCAAAAGTACAGATATATCAAATTTGCCATTACATATTATTTCCAAGTTAAATAGTGGGTAAGAAATTATTAGCGAAACATGTTATTAGAGAAGTTGATTATGTACCTAGCTAAGCTCTCAGTCTACATGTCCTTTTCTACTCATTTTAACCTTCTTGTTTGCATTGTTGGTTCAGTATTCTTTAGAAATTTTGTGTCGCAAAACCATCAGACCACAGGACACAATACAAATACATTCTTAGTCATTCCGTGATTGAACAGATTAGATTTTTGACCAATAGTGAATTAAAATTAAGTTTCTCTAGATTCTGCTGACATGGTTGACAAACATTAAAAACACGACATTTTTACCACAATAAATTTTAGTGTTCATATTGCGATCCAAGCCTGAAACATACACCACTCTGAATACTGGATTATTTCGATGTGTTAAAGTAGCATTCCATGTGTATAAAAACAAGTTCGAAAAACTAACCATTGAAACATTGAAAATTCTTTTGATGTAGCAATCTGACTGGTTGATTTCAAGTAATGTAACTGATATTTCAAAATTAGCAGATTTATAATGATGAGTAATGTTCAATTCCTCTGGCCAGTATAAATCACAAATAGTTTGACCATTATATTGAAGTCTATGAATAGAATACCGGAAAATGATTTCATAAAAAGTCATTATATAAATTGAAAAAATAAACCAAACCAAAGATTCTGTGCATGATACAGTTTCATTCTCCTGACAATTACAATTCTCTATTATATGAAATATTGAATTTCATTTCCTTAAACTCACATTCTCAGTGGCTAATTCTTAAAAACATTTGAATACATCTGGATTTTTCGACTGTAAGAATCATTCATAGGAGAAACAAATAATTTCTACATACCTTTTTAGAACAAAATGTCTGAGATTAGAACTAATATTTAGGAACCATGTTGTATGTTACTTGGGACTTTCTAGCTGGATATATGCTCCGTCTCAGTAATAATGTTCACATTTAGTAGACTCAAGTATCACACCTTTCATTTCAAACAAAAATGGCTCTGTTGAGATTGTCTGCGCAAGAGGCACTTATGCAGACAAAGACTCATTACAACTCAACTCCGAATATCGACAGAAAGATAATTCAAATCCCTGTTAATAAGAATATAATCATCTTATCCGTTGAATAAGTTAGTTTCTATCTGAACTCAATGGTTCATTGGATAACGACTCATAACTTAAGGCAAAAGGTACTGGACTGCAGTCCCAACAATAGGGGCAAAAAAAATTCTTGATGTCCACTGGTCACTACTATGTCAAAGCAGTTTTCACAGGATGCACTCATATTAACAAAGATTAAAACTCACTATTGAATATGAATAACAGGATATTTCAAAATCATATTTATTAAACACAAAACTAGTTACATATTTGAATTCAGGTTTGTTTATCATGATTTGAACAAAATAACTGAACATACGTATGACATAAGTTGGATTGATTGAAGTTATTACATAACACTGAGATTTTTCTACACATAGTTAGTTAACCGTAGGAAAAAAAAGTCAAATTACAAAAATATTACAACCCAGCTAATGATTTGAATGGAAAACAATTTTTATTGGGTCACCTGAAAGTTTAAACTTCAGAGTTTTCATTAAAAAATAAAGGCCGATAACATTATCATGTACATGTATCCTAATACAAGTGTGGCGTGGCTTATGGTGAGCAATGGAAGGCCAAGCTTCTCCTAATTTTCATTCTAACTAGCACTAGTTGGCAAAGTATATCTACAAAAATTTAGGAAATCAGTACTATGTGAGACCTAAACTCACATCACTCAATGTTACAATAGGTTATACTATCGTGATACTGTTAAGGAAAACAGTTGATCTACATTAGGACTATAAGAATTCATCCGTCACAAATAACTAGAATAGTATGAAGTTAATTTTTAATCAGTAAGAAATAATCAGTTAATCTCATATTCAATTTAGGTGTTAGATTTTTTTAAAAAATATTGATCCCTTTAATTGTTATAAAATTGATGATAATAGTTAATTACATGCTACACTTGCACTGAATCATTAAACTGTTCAACAGACAATCAGTTACAGACCAAAGCAAGAGTTTATAGTCACAAAATACAAAATAGACAGATATATATCTTACAATATACATATGTGATATATATTCGATACATCTGTCTGCGCTTCTAGATTAATCAGAAGTCAGTCGGGCTGGACGCAACCCATATTAAGAAATCCAACAAAACTAAATTGATTGCTTTAGTAACCTCCACTTACCCTGTTAACATAACAATAAATGGACACTTGAACATGTAAACCATATGCCAAAAATCACCAATTGTTTGTTTAAGTGGACCTTGTGTAGCAATGAATTCACAGTGATTATTTGCCCGTAGTACAGTATCGTCTGAAGATGATGGTGTTTCAATAAACCGTATAAAATTAGCATTAATGTAACCAGTAAAGTTTGTAGATAGCTAAAAGAAATGTAGAGAAGAAAATCTGGTAAAAGGTATGATCGAATTGTTATTCTGTATTCTGTCAGTAGCACATCATTATGAAATAACTCAAAACCAGTTATAGTAACTAAGATGTAGTCACTGCTTGCCTTGTTACAGATCGTTGGGGACGTTAGATCCCCAGAACTCACTTGATAATTTTGGATTTTGTGTTTTCGCGCATAGACTGATCAGTTAACCTTGAGATCCTTGACTGTTATTGGTTGATGCAGTATTTTAGTACGCTATTTTATGGTTCTTCCAATGACATTTCTATCATGTATAAATAAACTCGATTTGTATGCTTGTCAACCTCATATTTTCTGGGTGCTTGTAGAATACACTTTCTACGCCTTATCAAAACTTCTTCCTATAGTTAGCAAGGCCGGGGACAATCGAATCAGAATAGCCTATTGTATCACTGCATCATTTGTCTTCGCTCTCGTTACCAAGTAAGGTGAACTCGTAAACGTTTCAAGCATATCGATTGACGAGCATATTAAAGATATTGAGCTCTAAAATTATTTTATACTTCCTGTTCCATGAATCCACTTTTCCTTAATGAATTATATCGTTTATCCTTTTTACTACTAACACTGATACTGCTGATATTGTTATAGCGTTGTGAACATTGAGCAGGTTGGAACTTTGGGAAGTATTTTCTGGAATATTACTATAGTATCCTTATTGTATCCCTTACGATAAGCAAGCATCCAGACAATAAACGTTTTTCTTATCCCTCATTATTGACAATTAATTTTGAACTGTTTACTTCACCTTCGATTACTCATGGTATGATCACGTTTAAAGTATGACTTCATATTCGATGTGCTGACATACAACATTTCAAGCATATTATTGTATGGGTTCTGTCATGATTTAATTATCTCCTACCCTCGTCTTCTGATAGGCTACTGGGTCAGAAGGAGCTTGAGAACCAACAAACTTTCTTGTCTTGGGCCGTGATATCGATTAGCATTTAAGGCCATAACAAATATGAGTTTTCAATGTAGAAAAGTCACTATTGCTGTTTCAACACGTATCTCACTGTGCTGATGTGATGCGAAGAGTGTAGTGTCATGTTTTCTGTTGCCTATACCTGACTGACGGATCGAATAGGATAGGACCAAAATTTAAGATGTTTGATGATCATTACTTTAATATAAAGCATTTACCTAGGGAATCTAACTCCAGTGTATATTCATCTTATTTTAACCTAAAACCCTGTTGATTTAGGGTTTCACTTTCTTCAGAGATTAGGATCCGTAAGTCTTATGACTGACAGTTAACCAATTAACCACAGAATTCAATTCAATGATCAATATGTCACTAGAGAAAACGCTATTTTAAAATCTTAGTGAGCTAGATATTTGATTCCTACATCTACGTAAGATCGCGATTTTCACAGAAAAAGGATTTCATGAATAAAGGAAAATATACAACTATAACATCAATAGAAAACCAAGTATGTTTAACCAATGAAATGGAAAGCTTTTGACAAATGGTTACCAACAAACTAACTCTACAGATCAATCGATATTCTAATAAGGTTTGACAAGTTTGCATCGATCGATGTCAACTATTAACAATAAACTCTACGCAAGGTGAAGAAACAGTTTTTAGTTTGGAAATATAAATTGAACTTCGCATTCGTGAACAATAAATTCTGCATTATTTTCAAGTCACATTATGTATGAAGTTAGATACCTTGAAAGAGAAGAGTAAAGTTAATCGATAGGCTTTATAAAATCAAGTAGGACGAATCAATTATTTCGCACTCTTTTTATTGTCTAAGTAAACTAGGGGTTAAAAATGATTCACTGTATTATAAAGATAACAATTTTCCTATGAGACAAAAAAAAACACTCTATTAACAAATGTTATATTAATAATACGAGTGAGTTAACAGAAAATGGGGAACTTCTGGATTTATAGATGCAATTTTATCTTGTATTCGCTAAATAATTTAGTGCTGATATACCCTTCCATGGCTTGTAAGTTACATCTATCTAATTACTTAGTTTTACACTATAAATGACCTCGTGATGTACAGACTGTGATTTCTTATTAATGGTTTATTGTGACCGTGTAATCGTTGTATATTATATCATCAAGGTTTTATGAGTCATGATAATCGAAAACAGATCGGTTAGCTACTGTCACACTTTGACTAGACAAGTAGAGGTTAGAAAGAGCTAGCAAGGAGCTATTGGTGTCAGCGAACTTCATGACCACTTTTAAAAAAGAGAAGGCCATTAATGTTATTTTACGTAAAACGGACTCATCAGTGGTTCATTTAAGAAGAGCTATGGAAATCAGGTCAAATCAATAATGGTGCATATCAAAATCGTTAGCAGCTATTGCATATATATATATATATATATATATATATATATATATATATATATATATATATATATATATGCTGAAGGAACCAAGCAAATCACGTGATATTTTAAGGTTACAGGTATATCAGATATGAAGGTGGTAGTGCTATAGTGAGGAATCACATTGTTCATCTATCCTAGCTCTCCAGCCATACTATTCATATTGTTATTAATCTATCTATCCATAATTTTGAGATGTAGGTGATTCTTTTGGTTCTTTTCTTTCTTCTCCGATGACTACTAGATGGGTTAGCCGAGCATTTATAAATAGAAATGGATAGCGGTTAACAGTCGAATCCAGAAAGCTCGTTTCGTCCTAGTTGGGACTCGTCAGCTCAATGTACCTGCATTTCATAGTTGATGTTTACTCCGAGACTCGAACCTAGTACTGCTGGCTTTAAATGGGACGAAACACACTTCCTAAATTCTACTGATAGCTACTGTTTATCTCTGCTTTTAATGAATTATTGTTTTGAAGTTTATTTGAATTCTTATCTATGTAGCATAGAATATTATATCCATATAAACTTGGATCTTCAGTAAATCTTTTAGCACATTCTTGGGATAAATTATCCAGTTCTTGTAAGAGAAATTAAATCTCAAGAAAATAGCTTACTTTTCATTTCTTTGTCAGGTTACATCATATGTTGTTAAGCTATTCAGTCGTGTTAAGATGAAAGTGTCTAAATTCTACTTCAGTTGAGTTACAATCGTATTTCAATAACTTGGGAACATGACAGACAATTAGATTTCCTACTTTCTCGCCCCCTCGACCTCTAAAATGAAGCCATGCTAGTTCTTAATACAACCTAAGACAATATCTTTCTCTTGGCTCTGTCGCTAGAAATTTAAAAGTATTCGCTCATGTATATCACTTTTTGATCTTTGGTTATAAGTCTTTCCAGGAAGAAGAAAAGAGAATCATTGTGTTCGATATGTTTCAACCAGGGTTAACAGTCCTTGTGTATGGTTCGCGGTACTTCAATTCTATGGTGGAGTTCAACCATGTTGAGGAAGACGAATATCAACAGCGACAATAAATAACAGTCACACACGATCATAAATTGACTGAGGCTGTAGATATAAAATATTGAATGAAACTCACTAATCTGTAGCTTAAGTGCTTACTACAATTTCTGAATTTCAATATTCCCGGAGTTGTACACACACAAAGTTAAAGAGTCTCCTAAGAGAATGTGAAACATCTGTCTTTTGCTCTCTAGTTTTCCATAGTTAACTAAAAGCTTAGATGCTCACTATTGAGAGAATTTGTTTAAACTAACAAATATCACAACAACAAACAATCTTTATTAAAAAGGAAAACAGTTACCTCAGAAAATGTTATTGATTTCTGATTGTTTTCACTTTCTAAGATAACTCGTGTTTGGTCATCTGAAGTAAGAAAAAACAGAAGTATGCAAGAAGATGAGTCAAGTGTCAGAAGTCTACTTGATCTGTTAGTCAAATGAATAAATTTTTTTGATTTATTGGTTGGTTCTCGATGAATCACAATCAATATCATTCATGTTTGTTAAGTTGTTTAATGCTTAACGAATTCTATTAATTAACTCGCAATACAGTCGCCAGTTTTAGTCCGGGTATAGATGATATGTTCGACAGGAAACTCTGAATCTAAAGTCCTGTAAGATATCTACTGTTACCCGAATAACTCAATAGTAACATCGGAAACTGTTGAGCTAGTTGACACAGGTTAGCATCCTATAGAGAGAGGTTCGTTCTCTTGAGATTGTAGGTATACCTTGCTTACAAGTGCTATTGAGCATAAGATCCATACGATGCAGCATTTTCTGTTGACTACTTTCAACCATCTAAAGAATTTACAGTTGTTAACAAGATCTCATTTTAGCTAGTAATTGAATTAAAAGACCAGGAATTACAGGTTTGTTATATACCATTGAACATTTAAATGAAATCTTAAAGAGTGTACTCTTTATTTGTTTAAAAATTCAATGATCATATACATTTTTCTTTGTTTGGTTCTTTTGAAATACATTACTCCACAGCTTTCCAAGATTCAATTCTCGACCTCATATTACTGAAAATAAGTGATCGTTCGTGTTTGGGCCATTAAGCCCTACTAAGTAATTCAAGATGATTTATCTTTAAAGTCAGATTTGTTTTGAGAGGTAATCCAATGAACTATCTGAAGCTTTATAATTCGTCTCCCTTTCATTTAATTAAGATCTAGACAGAATTATATGAACAGAGTAAATTCGAATGCATCACCAATAAACCAATTATTCAGTGTTTCAATCACGTACTAACAATTGATAATTCTTAGAAAATTCATCAAATGTTAAGCGCTGACTATATGGAGTGAACAGATCTTTTAAAATCTGTCAACAGGTAAACGCAAGGTTAAGACTACAGGAATAATGAAGTTCGAAGACGATGATCGACCACCCAATGTAGTTAAAAAAATATTAGATATATGCAATATCTTGTGTCTTATGATCGTCAATTCAATATCCTGATCAATATTTATGAATTGAATTTCGGAAAATTGTTTGAACACACAATTCTAGCAAAGCATGAAATGACAAAGTTGTTAAAAAGTTTCCATTCTGAAAACTTTCAAGATTAGTAATTTTTCTCATAAACTAGATTTATTTATAAATGGATTAAGTGTTATACTTTAACTTTTCCAAATTAAAAATTTTAATCAATAAAGTTAAACAGATTATGTAAAATATTTTAGTACACTTACAAGGTAAAATATCATTATAACGATTTAAATAGTCATTTTGTGAATGAATTGCTGCATTATATGTTAATTGATTTGTTTTTTCTAATTCATAACTTTTAGAACATATTGTCTAGAAAGAGTTTGAAAAAAAATTCAATAAGTCAATAAGAAACGAATAGAACTCTGGATGTTGACAGTGAATATTCATCAAAATATAAAGTTGCCTTTCTAGATTAGATAAAAATATCGATCAGTACTTAAAGTAAAGGTGTATAAAACTGGAGAAAGAATGGAGAAAGTTGACAACCTTGACGAACAACACCACTCGAGGTCTTCAGTCAACAACATCAGTGTACATCAATTCAATTTGTCACAGCACATTAGCACAGAGTAGTAGTAGAAGTAGTAGAAGTATTAGCAGTAATGGGAGAGATTAGGGTTCGACGATATTATTCAAAAAGTAGAATCTAGCCAAATAAACTTAAAAATAAAAAGATAAAAGTGATGAGAGATTCAGAAGGTTAGGATTTGACAGGATACAAAGAATGGATGCACGTGTGTTATTGCAAACGGTTTTGAGCCATATCATTCGGGGTCTCTAACCATCGATTACTATCATCTCGTGGGCCTCAACCAGGCACTCAACACCTACCAACATGGCTCAGTCCAGTTGTCAGTGACTTGTGCCATGGTTTGGCTTGGCCACCCCTAGGTTTCTTCCAACCTGTAAAATTGAGATTAAGTTTTTACGGTTAGTCTTTATATGTTGATCCTAATTGTAGTTTGATATATTTTTCTTAACTCCGTCGAACATTCATTGAATTCAAGACTAAAGTATCACTTATGGATATTTTTTTAAAGTCCATTTCTGTTAGAAAATCAATATCTATGTCATAAATTATTTCATTTTTCAACACAAATCAATCACCAGTATTCCTCAAGGTTATTTAAACAGCCGTTCAAGACAGCCCTCATTCTTAATGTGTATCAGTATTTTTTTTCACAGCCGATCATTCAAAAACTATTTTACAATTATGGTTCAATCTGACCTTGACAAAATCTATCTTTAATTGATTAGTGATATGGAATGATGAGTGCAATTATGGTTGATAGATTTATAAAACAAGGAAGATTATTTCAATGAAGAGCTCTTTCTTAGGCGAATTGTTTTAAAAAAAACTGAACTTCAGAGATCGGGTTATTGGAAGTAACCGACAGGAAAACTTGTTGACCTAGGTTTCATGAAAGCTTGGATTGGCTAGCATGACGTATTTGTAATTTTGAGAGAATCGATGGTCATTGTGTGATTTGAATTCATATCACAATATCTTGCAGGCTGAAACGTTACTGCTGATGTTTCATATGGCCAAGGTTCTGTAGAACGTCCTGGGAATATACTAATTATAGTAACGGAATCAGCGATTGTTCAGTCGAAATGTGACACCCAACCTTTCATCTTTACATGTTCCCGAGAAGCCTCTATGCTATGCTAACTAGATTAAACATTTTTAAACGTCTTCTGGGCCTTGGCAGAAGTTGATGAGAGATATTTTGGGAGTATCCAATATAATAAACCCAACTTTAATTTTATCAACTCATTAAACAGAGATAGTTGACTACTTGGTTCTCACTTATCAGGTTTAGAATCATGTGCATGACTTTGAATTATACCGTAAATTTAATAGTTATTGAGACTACTCAACGATACAAACCGAAGTAGACAGATTAGTATCTGAAGCAATTAGCGACCTATTGTTTGAAACTGAAAAGACCTGATTGATAAATTTCGGTGAAAACTAGAAAGTGAAAAAGTAGTACGAACTACTTGTAAAGTGATTAATTCATGCACTTAATGAACTTTTTAAACTACAAATTCATATGGTGAAATGATTTAATAACAGAAAATAAGCTTTTTTTCTAAAACAAACCTCAAATTGATCAACAATTAATTGTTTTGTATTGATTAAACAATCATTTAAATAATCCTTGAATTTTGATGATTGAATAACTGGAAAACTGAAATTATAAATGAGCTGTACGTATGTATGAGTTGGAGATATATATATAGATAAGTTTATGCATAATAACTACACTCTGTACATTTTATAACATTAAATAGAGTTAACACTTACCTTAATAATGCTCCGTATTCACAAGAAGAAATTTGGGTAAGATATAACTTAAGAAGAGAATGATGAAAATATGACTATGGAAATAATTCCTAGTTTATTTTCAAGATTGATAAAACTCATTGGTTGTATGTGATAAGTGATTACTTGCAATCGGTTACACAGACTTTTAGTTGATTGCTTTTTAAAGATTTAAACTATTCCAAGGAATTTCGTCTTCATGAAATTCATCTGCTTTATGATACTTTTCAACAAATTATGTTTGAAGTATTTTGAAAACTGATGCTATTTAACAAACGGTAAATCATATGCATACTAACTCAATTTAATTCTCGAATACTGATATGAATGAGGTAATAATCGATATCCAGAGAAAGGATTCGTCAATAATAATATTGCTCTACCCCGTGTATACCACTTTGGCTATTACATTGTATCCTAAGCTTTGAAGAATTATCCGCGTAATTGTCAAAGTTAATCTTTAGTTGAATCTGAATTAGACATTAACACCTTTACATGCCGGTTCAGTGGTCCAGAGGTTAGGCTTTCGCGCGCAAGACCGAAAGTCCTGGGTTCGAATCCCGCGAGGTGCTGGAGTTGTGGATGCACACTGCTGATGAGTCCCATACCAGGACGAAACGGCCGTCCAGCGCTTCCAGTTTTCTAATGGTGCTTTAACAGTGATGTACTACAGCCTTCAGTCTGATGATAGAACACAACAAGCAGTAATGCAATGGTGTTTCTAATATGAATCAACTCATACAATTTGAGGCATACTCGTATCAAAAGGGAGAAAAGATGTGATTGAATAATTAACTAGACTTCTGCAGTAGTTATTGGATCTACTGAAAGCTTACAATAAGGAGAATATAAAAATACTATAATACAGTTATTTAATAATACAATAAAAATAAAAATAATAATAACAATGATAAACAGTAAATTAGTTTCAAAATTTATACTTTTTTTAATATTACCACTGCCATAACAATTATAATGGATTCAGGTATGACAAAGCTCAGTGTAAAACAAGATAATAATTTACCACGAATCTCATATAGATAACTTAATCACTGCTCAGAACTATCAGTCAGTATTAATCAGTCAAAATTAAACAAACCATTAGTTGCGAATAACTGGTCTAACATTTCTTTATTCTGATTCTGTAAGTATGATTAGAAATGCTTAAGATCAAGGTATACAATGAACAGATACCCTAGTAAATTAAACCAAACAGTAATTGTTTGTTGACACTGAAAAAAAAGTGTCTCATAAGTACCTTAATCTAAATGATGCATTCGATATACTGAAGTACAAAAGCCACATTCATAGTCTGATTATGTCTATTTATTTATATTACATGATTTTAAAACTAATGATTCATATCGATATGACTGATAAACAGCGAATAAGTTGTTTTCATTTCAAGGTTTAGTTGGCACATTGTATTTGATTAGTTACATATATAAAGTCATTAGCTAACCTGATTGATATCGGTAATGAGTAATGGTAACTGATCAATTATTGAGATTGAAGTAATAATCATTACAAACAAGCCGTTTTCAGTCGTTGAGTATAAATTCAGTCATAAAGCTGTACTCTTGATAAGTAGGACTCCCAATTTTTTTTCTTAAAAAACAGTGTAATCTATAGATTGTTTTAAAAATGATGTATCAGTTGACGAGAACCAAACAAAATAAAATGAATTCTGCTTAAATCTTTATTCTCACTCTTTTCAAACGATATGTTCATGATTGAATAAGAAATTGATTTTATTTCTAAGGAATGAGTTGCAGACCGTTGATGGCCTAATTTTTAGAGGATAGATATACTTATGTAGCGAATGAATGTGCAAACATGCCAATTCGGTTTGGTCAGTAAAGTTTCTTATCTGGTTGTAGTTCCTCTCAAGTAGCCAGTTGCACTCGACTAGAGAGTGTGAGTCAGTACCAACGTTCGGACACGGCAAGTGACAACAAAAGCTACTTTAGGGATTATTTCGTACAATAAATCATAAAACTGTCTGTTTTAGAAAATAAATCCCATTAGAATAATCATCTTTAATTGAGTAATAAGCATAGAAGTATATCATATACACTATAAAAAGTTTAATCCACAAATTTACAATAGTAATGCTAGTAGTATTGAATGTTTAAATGATATAGATTCCATTTGATTTTTTTTTTACTAAATAGTGGCAAACATCATATTTAATCACACCTTTAAAATAATCGAATAATATCGAATTAATTATAATTTGGCTAAAAGAATAGCTTAATGGTAACGTCTCACATTGTGAAGTTCGGTAAGATTGGTTCGAATCTCACAGGAAGCATATGAGATAGCTACGTTTTCGTGATGAATGTGAACTAGCAACAAACATGAAAGATTCCTCAAAAATTAAACTAATCAATTAGTTGCGGGTAGGAAATAAACTAAGTAGAACTTACTACGATTGCACAGTTAAAAGTCGTTCAGGTAAATCGTACATAAAATTGATCATCTCAGAAGTATTATTCTACAACACACCAGATCAATGATGATACTTTTAAAAGATTTGAAAAAAAAGAAGGATAAGTTAGTGATATATTTCTTTGTTAAGATATTGAAAATATTTTACTGTTCATAGAAAACAAGTGTTATTTAGACTACAACAATCTTAAAACTCTGTAGATTTATAAAGGAGAGGCGTTGTGTATTAAATAATATTTCATAAAATATATGATTCTCTTACAATAAACTTTTTCGTATATTTGTTAATTGAACTGATTCTGTGTAGAACTCTATATTGAGCGTGACATAATCAAATATCCTGTCTAACGATTTAATAAATACCTTCCTCTCTATAGTTTGGGAATTGTTAAACAAAATCAATACTTATGTTCATCCTGTTATATTTGGTCGATAGTGGTCATGTAGTAGATGGAACAAAAGTATATAAAGCAACTTATTTGATAACTTCAAATTTTTTAAATAGGATTTGATTACATCATTTTGTATACAAAAACATTTATCCCTTTCTTGAGTAAGATACATTTAACTGGTGATCATTGTTACGATTGTTAAATTGTTTTTTTTTCACTTTCTCATCATCCAAATACTTGGAACGACTATTTGCATACTTAATAATACCTGAATTTTAGTGGTTACTATTTTCATATGCTTGTTTTCTTAAGCAGTGACCTGCCGAAGACAACGGTAAATGGTCATGCAATATCGTGGATTGATTTAAGTTAGACATTAAAAGCATAGGATGACAGCCAGTGCAGTGGTTTAGATGTTAAGCATTTGCAAGCGAGATAGAAAGTTTTGAGTTCGATCCCCTCATACGGAGTCCTTGATTCACACTACTGATGAAACCAATATTAAAACCAAACGACCATTCAGTATTTCCACGTTTCCTATGGTGGTCTAACATTGATCGGCTCATGATTTCAATGAGATTCTTTATTCGATCAGTAAAAATTCTTTTTCAATGCTAACATTCTTCCTAATTTTGATTAGAGACGTTCGATTTGTAATAATTTCAACATAGTTTAAAATAATGAATGATCAAATATTGTCGGGCATCTATCATCTTTCTGCAAGCTGGGCTTATTTATTACGTGGATGAAGTAGATTAAACGGAGGCTATATAACTGGTGGCACTCGGTCAAGCATCAGTGTGTGGCCAGCGAATCCGAATTATTTTCCGTAGATAACTGTTAATAAACACTTGTATCTTCTGGATGATGGCTTTCGTAGTTCTCCAAGTTTCCACCCTATACAGTGGAACTGTCTCGATAATTTTATTGAAAATTCTGATTTTAGAGTTAGTTGGTAGTTATTTTTAATTGCAGATGCGTTACTCATACACATAAACACGTCATTTCGAAAGAAACTGTCAATCATCAACTGAAACTGATTTTCGTAGTTGATACAATTTCATGAAAGTACGCTAAATGTTGGTTTCAAATTTTCTGTCTATAATTTATATTAGGTGTTCAAATTTAAACCTATATTTGTTATATTATAGTATTTACTGATAAAACCCTTTATTTTATATGAACACATTAGAAATCACCAGTGAACAACTAAAATCCTTGCAAATTTACTTTTATCTAATGTGTGTAGTGACGTAATCTACTGCATTGTGATTATTGACCCATAAATTGCCTTGATTAGTTTAACATTTTCACATAAATATTCATGTATATTAGAGTAAAACCTGATGACGATTTAATTAAAAACAATATTATTCGCATATATGTGTTGTTCTAATTTTCACAATAGGAATCTTGAATAAACTATCAAACAACACATTCAAAACAGTGGTTCCCTTTGATAAATTTGAATAGAGAAATGAGAAGACATATTTTGTGAGATAGTACCATTTCGTGCTTTCTCGTCAGTCACATACAAGCAACATGTTATTTGTGTAAATACAGTTATGAAGATAAGGTCAAAATTTCTTATTTAGCATGACATTCACTCACTAGAACCATGGTAAACAAAGGTCAACATACAGTTGTTTTTGAACACATAGAGTTGAACTTTTCCGACCAATCAAGATAGCTTCGAGTAGTTTCAGTGTGTGTGGGTTTTGATGACATGTCACAACTCTAAAGGCTGAATTTGGGTCAATTTGATGACCACTCATCATTAGATGTTTTGCAATGGACGAGGCTGGGTTTCTTGATCGATTTCGAGATGATGGGCTAGGTTGATGAATCATGGATTTGATTAGCCATTTCGGAATATGTTCCCCTATCCTGTCTTCCAGTCGGCGATCTGTCCTCCGTAAGTAACTTTCTCCGCAGTTACATGTGAATTGGTAAATACTGTATTTACAAAAATAACATGTTGCTTGTATGTGACTGACGAGAAAGCACGAAATGGTACTATCTCACAAAATATGTCTTCTCATTTCTCTATCCAAACAACAAATTAATTTATTTTCAAGATTTTAAATGATTCATTAGACATTCACACTACACAGTTAGTCTATTTTTGATAGTTAACATTGATAAAATAAATGAGCATAAATTGCTAACTATCTTTTAAACAGATACCATTATAGTAATAGGTAGAGGAAGAGGCCTGATTCATTATTCTTTTGTTGGAGTGTTAATCAGAGTAGAAGTTGACACAAATCTACAATAACCAAAGTTGCCTTACTATATTAAAAAAAGCCAGACGAAGTTAATAAGATGCTTGTAAAAGAAATCGAAATTGTAGTAGTAATGATAATGGTTATTAGAAAAGATAAAATAAGACTTGAAAAGACAGAATCAGAAGGTATTAATGAAAGAATATGGTGGTTTTGAATGCAGAGACAGGTAACGAGTGAATGATCCAGAGTTTCTGAATAGATTTTAACATATTTTCCATAACGTCTCAAACCACTGATCACTGTTACTGCATGGACACTAAACAGATAGTATTCATCTGGCAATGTGTCTCAAATCAACTGTCAGCAACTGTACTAGCTGATGCCATGTATTAGTTCGAGTATCCCTAGCTTCGTTCCAACTCACACCTTGCATCAGTTAACATCGAGTATCGACGTACGTGGTGTCTGTTTATACTTTGCACATATCCTAAATACTTTATTTGATAAGAAAGAAATGAATCACTGTTATATATTTCTCAAATCCACCTCTGAACTGATCAATTTTAGAACATCAAATAAAATCTGGGAGCACCGAAAGGCAGTTCTATTCTTATAAGGGATACATCAGCGGTGCACATCCACGGACCCTCAAAAGGGAGTCGAATCCTGGACGATTGGTTTCGCGCGTGAATGCTTACTTGAATGAAAGGGAAATGAAGTTAGAAAATGACAAAGAAATTGATAGCCGTTCTGATAACAATTAAGAAACTGTTATGAAAATAGTCATACAATTATTCAACTATGAAAACATAAAATGAATTGTTTGGTGGGCATTAGTTAAAGCAACATAGTCAATAATGAAATAATTGGACAAAAATTGCTACAAAACATTACCTACCAAACTCATGCGATCGATAGTATGAACTAGTCACTGGATATTGTCCATAACATCACGTGTCTCAAACTGAAATTTCATTGGCTTAGGTTGAACCAATACAAAGAAATTAGTTTTATGATTGGTCATATTGTTGGCCTGAAATGATGTACGTATGTATGGAAAAACAATGATTGTGATAACTTGAAGGTGACATTTATACAGGCTTATTCAATCTAAAGGTCACTTGGAAGTTGATAATGATGTTACCCTTTCTGAGTTAATTAAAAACCACTGCATTTAACGATGTAGTACTGAAAATTAACTGATCAATAAGTTTATGTGTGTACACCACTCATGCGACCATGAACCTGAACTATTATAACCAATAAACGTGAATAACTAATTGAGCTCTATCCTTTTTCTTTCCTAACAGTAGGAGTAGTGCATTTCCAGAAAATCTCGGGTTTAAAAGACTGGTTATTATTTGAGAGCGAAAATAATTATGGCACAAAGAGATAAGAATTTTAATCTTTTACATCAAATAGTCTACCTATCAAAATAAATAAGCGAATGTCCTAACATAATGTCAGCTAGTATAAAAGATTATTATAGAATGCTTCATTATCGGCAAAATTACTATGAAAATATTTGGGTTGCGATTATCATTTTGGTTTTACCGTTCTTTCATCTCGACTTTTATAGGAGTGAGGTTTTTTCTTTGACTTGCCTCAAAATAATTTTTCTATTTTCAAGAACTATACATGGTTGTTTGCAGTATCCATAATTACTTAACACTAAAAACAGATTAATAATTATTCAAATACCTTTTCTTCACATGCATTTATTTTACACTAATTAGTGTTCAAAATCATATCGAACCGTAATCTCGTGGCGGCGAAAATAGTCTCCACTACAAAGTCTAACTCCTTTATCGGATACTCCGTTTAAGTCCTGTGGGTATCCAATGCCCTAAACATTTTTGATCCACCTGTCGTCAGAAGGTGTACCATCAAGAGGTAAATTAGGTCTATTGGACGGTGTATTATGAAGTGCAGACTAATCAACACTTATTTCTAAACTGTAAATAAACTAATCAACCAGTCAATCATCAGACAAGTAAAGCAAAAAAATCTATTTAAAAAGAATGACTAAAATGATGACATTTCTAAGAATAATATAAGTATTGTCACACACTTCGCATCCACCTATGCAAATTTGAAATAGATAATAAAATCTCTTTTATTAAGATCGATTTGATTTTTCCGGATTAAAAATCTTTGTTGATAAGTTGAAGGTGTTCATGAGGAAGCTCTACATTTTGGTTTATACTAAGTCAAGCAATTATATGTCGCATCAAATTCAAACGGTAAATGAGAGATTAAAAATGTGGATCAATGATATAACAAATGCCAACAATGCTAACAAGAAGAAGATTTTGGAAATAAGTAGATGAATGGACAAATAAATAAATAAATGGTTGTGAAGATTGTGCAAGAAGATAGAAGTACAGTGAAGTGAAAGGAAACGGAGATAATAAGTAACATAGAATAAGTTAATGATATAAGAATATGACACTAATAACGACTAGCAAGTCTCAATACATTCATTAGGCACATCTGGTCCAAGAGGGAGGTGATGATTGTAGATTTATTTCGACAGTGGCTGTCCCAATTGTTTCCAATAGAAACACTCCTGTACGTTTTTCCTAGTGCCGGGTCCCGACCAAATGAAAAAGGGCAAAATTCTAGGAGAAAACGTCTCTATATTATTATAAAATGGAAATACAAAGTCTTACGGAATTTGTGTTTCTTCCAGGGTTAATTTACTCCGCAGAGTATCCAACACAATAGCCGATAAGTGAAGCTAAGTCCAGCAGCCACTGCGTCCGTCCGAAAATGTGGCGGTAGTCATATTATATCAAATTTAAACAATATATGTACAGTTCAGAAGCAACACAAAAACTTCAATATAAGTACAAATATAGAAAGAATAACAACATACAATGATAAAATCTCAAATTGGAATCAAATAAAATACCAAAAATGTCAAGAGAAAAAGTCCATCATGTCATAGCAAAAATATGTAAACATGGAGGGATTTTCCAAAAACGCAAAACATTCAAAAAGAATTCTACAATGATGACGACCGAAATCGAGCCCTGAGATGACGTAAGGGACTACCTTTGAGGGTGTGAGTTGTTTACGTCACGTGGGGTTATAAATTTATAACGTGACCTTCCAACCACCTTAGTTTTAACCCGTTGTCTACTGCCCATTCCTCACTTGATATAAGATCCTTCTGAAACACAGTCGAATCCTCTTTGCTCCTCGTGGACCTCTAGATCTTTTCATCGTCTGTGTAGATCGATTCCGATGAGCTAACTTTGTCTAACAGATCATTAATGGATATCAGAAAGAGAAGCGGGCTTAAGATAGTCCCTGGTGAAACTCTCGATGTCGAGGCTCACTGACTCAGATTCACTTTACTTGCCTTAGTACGAAACTTCCTGACCTGAAGGCAGTTTCCGTACAAGAGGTAAAAGCCTTCACAGCTGAGAGTATGTGAGGTAGTGCTGAAAGCTTTTGAGAACTCAAGGAATATCAAATGAACCGGTATTTTTCGGTCGCAGAAGGTTGTCCAACTGTCTAATGCTATGAGAAGATTGGACGCACATGATCTACCTTTCGTAAATCCGTGTTTGGCTCTATGAAGGATATCATTCTTATTCATATACCAACTCAATTGCTCATTCACCAACACTTCCATTACCTTCAGTAATATTGGTAATAATGCGACTGCTCCGAAGCAGGTTGGATCTTTTCTGTATCTACCTTTGAAGATTGGACAAAGAGTAGCTTGCTGAGATTCTGCTGGAAGTTGTTGAGATTACAGCAAACGTCTGATGAACTGAGTGTTTCCGCACACTGTTTCAAGATTATAAGGCGAATTTCACCACACCCTGTTGACTTTCCTGAGCGCAAATATTTTTCTTAATAGTAGGTCAGGAGTAACTCGAATACTCCCTGGACCATCAGCACGCACTACGTATGAGTAGCAAATTGAACGTGTAGGTACCTGGATTATAACGTCAGTGATGTTTGCACTGATGATCTCAGCCATCCCTATGTTGGTAAGATCTTCGTGATTTGAATCTTTTGGAGCATAAACGAGCTTATTTGTAGGTTTTCATTTAGTCATGAATCTAAAGAGATATTTTGTGTTTGCTTGTATTTTGGCATGTATCTTTGTCTGGAAGTGTCTCCCATCACTTTAAACCATGGTAGTACACCTGTTTATGAATACCAAGTGGGAACTACAGTCGGAATCCCTCAGTGAGAGCTTACACTTTTGCCAAGCTCTCCTTTTCCCTGTGGCAAGCGTTCAGTGCTCAGCCTAATACATGTTCTTCTCTTTCCACGTGAAAGACAGCATTCTGGAAGATGTCTCTTAATGTTTGCTAGTGGTCCTCTACTATTAGCGCCAACCACCATGACCTTTGGAAGTGTAGAAGGTGCTTACTCATGAACGTGTCGTTTACCTTAGTTCAACAAAGGTTGGGTTCGTTTTCGTCCCGCCGGAGTTCAAACAAATAAAACCTAATACATTACTCCAAATTATAAACAATGAGGGATCAACGAGAGCTAACGTTCAGAATAACTGCATTTTCAGGAAATACAATCAAACAAAACATATAGTAGAAGCGTTCTATGGGAGATTCTTCGGGAAATATATGATCACTCCTCAAACGATGCACGAATAGAAGGCCCTTCATATGAACCGTAATAGTGATGTACTTATAAAATATCAGTCAAAGTTGAGTGACTGGCCATTTGTAACAGTTCACAGTCTTCACATCAGTAAGGACAGACTTTTAAGAACTGTAGATGTAGAGACTACGATTCGTTTACCTGTGAGAGACGTCAGAAAGTTGTGTTTATTGTAGGGTTCAGATAAATATCGACTAATAGATCGAGAATCGAGTAATTTCTCTATTAGGCAAGAATATCCAGAGTGATAAAACACAGCGTTGTTGTAGGGGTTGATTGATGCTCTACCAGGTTTATTGATGCTTGAAGTGACAGGCAGTTGTACATAATCATGTATACATCATCATATACTTTTTCAAATAATTAGTTTTATTGTATTTTCATAGGCCTCTCGGAGACGTAATTAACGAATGATATCAAACAAGTCAGGCTGCTAATCAACATGATGCAGAAACCAAACTTGTAGGTTATAACTTAACTATTTAACAATTGCCCTCCTATATTTCAATTTGGCTGATTGAATTTTCATTACTTGTGTGGGTTTTCATTCAGCTAAGTCGTCTAAATATGTTATGAGCACAAGAATAGCGGGAAGGGAAGATACATGAGCGCCGCTTAAGATAGCTTAGTCAGTTGTGAGGAGTAAGATAGTCTGGTGGTGTAGGTAAGTAAAAGTTATGCATAAATAAGGAGGCAGTTCTGAGATAGTCATTTTAAATGACTGTGAATGAACTGTCGCGCTGCATTCAGTTCACTTTAAAACACCTATGCATTATCGATCGAATGAAGAAATCAATTATGCATTTAACTGTGACCGGACACAATCTACAACCTGAGAATTAAACTTCACAAACATAATATTGAGTACAGTCGTCAACTAATCTCCGCTTTCTGGGATCGACAGCAGGCTATAGTTTTGCTTGAGGTCTGTACAAATGATTGCCCCAGCGAAAATTCAGGGAATGAGTTTTACAAAACCCATGTGATCAGGTGAGAATAGCATGACTTTTTAGTGGCGATCGAGACGAGAAGACGAGAAGAAGAGTTGTTCCGTAGTAAAGAATATAAATGCTGGTGATTTCGTGGAGTCGAAAGAATACCGAAATCGAGCCACATGGTGATGACAATAGTATGCTTCAAGTTAAGCATTAACTATGAGGCGTGGCTTCAGTGGATGATAGGATGTCATGACTTTCCTGTCAAACCCATGTAGGCCCGCAACAGTTGATACAGATCACCTACCTTGGTGATCTAAACATAACTCATAGAGCGGTGTTTAATTCATGCATAACACATAAAAGCAAGTGCGACCATTTTTGTGACTCTTCTGGTTCTAATCATTTAAAGTTCATAACCAAAAATGATAATAACAGCAACTTCTGTTGAAAATATTAAAAAACGTTCTGGTCATTTGCCCTAATTCATTAGGTAATTAGGAAGATATTTGAAGACATTTGAGCATAATGACTGGAATTCAAGTTTTCTGAGTAAGGCTAACTGGCGAAGAAACCATTCTGACTACTAGAGAATCTGAAGGAATAAATACTTCCCTAACTATAGCTGGAAAACGTTGGCAGTTCGGAAACTTAAACTTAATCTGCTAACTGACTTGAATGAGACAGTCGAGTGGCTAGACTCCAGTCATTGGACACTACCAAACAACTGAAACCGTACCGATAGGACAAAAATCGAGCTCATTTAAATCAAATTTTTTTATTCTGGCTCGTGTAAAAGATATTGGATAGTGAACATTGTGGCGGGCTTTCCGTTAAAAGTACGCCTTAACGTGGTTGCTGCTTTATTTTTAGTATGTTTGAATTTTAGTTTGGTCTGCTTTACATCACTGTCACCTTTAATACCGTAATCTTAAGTTTTTCTGGATTTAAATTCTATTTGCTACGTTCGGTTCCCAGATATTCATTGAAATCGGGAATCACCACTTTCAGGATTTGAAGGAGCTTCAATAAATTTTTGAAGGAAAATGCGACCAAGGCCTCCGAGCTTGCTTCTGAATGGAGATGCGCCCCCAAAAATACATTTCTAGGAAGGACGTGGAAAATTATTATTTACGACTAATGAACACTTCTGAGGAGGCATGTGCCCAAAGAACAATCAAAATGTCTATGCCCATAGGGTTAAAAACTTTTGCTTTTATTCTGTCGTTCGATACTTCAAGCGTATTCTTGATTCGCTTGACAACTATACTAGCAGACTCACGCACATATGCATAATCATATACATTATGTATTTAAGTCCTAATTATTTCTTTTGAGTTTAAGAGGAAACTGCTGAGATCGGATTCTGAGTTTCTAGTAAAACTTCGGGGTTATCTAAAGTTATGCTCTGATTGGTTTGTCATAATTCTGATACGACTGTAATTATACTTCAAAAGATGTTACTTAAAATAAGCGTTCATCTCTCTACAGGTTTTCGTTGCGTGGGGCCGGTGACTAGAATTTGTTCAAATTTCTTATGATGCCTAGCAAGTTTTCAGTCTTCACATTTTGCGTTAGGGAGTTGAGGTAATGTCTTTCCCACCTATATACGCGATATTAGCTCTCATTGGAGCCATGTTAAACTCGGACCTCCAGATGCAATTTTGGGAATTACTGAAGCATATAATCGTGATGCCAATCCTCGGAAGATCAATTTGGGGGCTGGAGCCTATCGAGATGATAATGGAAAACCGTTCGTCTTACCATCTGTTAAAGAGGCAGAATCACTCTTATTGGCCAAAAATTTGAACAAAGAATATGCTCCAATCAGTGGTGTTCCCCAATTTTGCGATATGTCCATTAAGCTTGCACTTACTGAACAGTCTTCGCGAATCAAAAATCGTTGTGTAAGTTTGAGTGCTGATCCCTTTTGTTTAATTTTCAGTTTTGAAACTGATTAATATTAAATTATGTTTCATCCGGTTCACTGATTTTGTTGCATTTATGTGTCCAGTTAAGTTAAAACAGTATTATATGTCATTTCGAACTGAATCAAATAAATATAGACTTCAGGGTTAGTCTTATTGGGGGTTCCGGACCGTAGTTGCTACCTCGGAAAACCAGCATTTGCAGCGATACTGCCCTCTCACAAGGAAGGAAGGGGTTAGAAAAGGCCGACCCCAAAAATGTCACACCTCACAGATCCCCGTCTCCGGCGGTAAGGGCTTTTAAACAAGAGCAGAGCTGAAAATTTAGAAACTCATAATTAGGCCGTGCGTGACCGGCCTCAAGCAGTTGTTCCTTATTCCCGGTCTCCTGAAAACCTGCTCTAGACCACGGATTGGAGCTTATAACGTTCGATCCTTGTGTCAAATGGGTAACAGGCTGGGAATCTGGAATAACATTTCATCGATGCATGGTGCGTCTCCGAAACGCACATACAGGATCCGAGTTAAATCATTAATTTGACTTCACCTTGTCCAGATGAAGAACAAACTCAGTTTACGCTTCGTCTATCTGGATACACTGTTGCTCCTTACCGTTGCATAGTATATAGTCCTAGGGCAGAATTGGCTCTCCTAGACTGGATCCCAGTAGTGTGTGTGTGTGTGCTGTTGTGCTTTCCGACTGAACGGGACAGTAAGGACTCGAAAAGATAGAGACACCCGTCGTTTAGATTCAGATCATGCCCTAGTGCGAGCGCGTGTCTGTTTGAGGCTTACAGGGCGTAGGAAAGACACCGTAAGGAAGCCTCTTAGGGTTTTACTTAATGATAATAGGGCGAAAAATATATTTCAGGAACAACTAGAGAGACAGTTAGGCGACCATTTAGGCGATTCCCATCCGGAGGCAGGTTGGAATGATATCAAAAAGGCTGTGGAAACAGCAGTGATATCTTTTAGTAAGGTAAACCATAAGGCTAGGATGAAGCCGTGGATCTCAATAGCATCTACCGAACTGATGGATGCTCGAAAACTCATCCCGCCTGGCTCTGAGTGCGATGAGGAGCGGAGTCAGCTTAGACGTAGACTGACAAAAAGCCTACGCAATGATCGAGAACAGTGGTGGGTGGAGAAAGCGAGAGAGATGGTTAAGGCAGCGGCGATCGGCAACAGTAGACAACTTTTCCGACTTATCAAGGAAACTAGTATTAGGAACGCAAATGTGACTGAGACTATTTCAGAAAAGGATGGTCTTATCATACATTCTCAATACAGGAGACTGGACCGATGGGCAGAACACTTTAGGGATCAGTTCAACTGGCCTCGAGCCACTCTTCGGTTACCCACGATCTCCAGTCATCCTAAATGGCAAATCGACGTAAGTTCCCCGACTCTATGAAGTTGAGAAAGCGTTAGGAAATCTGAAACGAGGACGAGCTGCAGGTGCTTATAGACTGACCCTGAGATATTTAAGGATGGTGGTCCAGTTTTATCAGCTAGGTTGACCGAGATCTTAGGTAGAATCTGGGAACTGGACGTAATTCCATCCGACTGGTCTCAATCACTGATTGTCCCAATCTATAAGAAAGGACAGAAGTCTTCTTGTGACAATCACAGGGGAATAAGTCTAACTAATATAGTATCAAAAATATTGGCCTCAATAATACTTCGGCGCTTAACGAAAGCTCGTGAAGAGCAGACTAGAGAAAATCAGTCTGGTTTTCGACCTGGACGTGGTTGTATAGACCACCTTTTCACACTACGACAGGTCCTCGGACACCGACACACATTTAGGCGTCCTACAATAGTTGTTTTCCTAGACCTTAAGGCGGCATTTGACTCTGTGGATCGTGAGGTTCTGTGACAGTGTCTGTCATTGAAAGGTGTACCAAAGAAGTACATTAACCTCATACAGGCTCTCTACTCGAACACCACTGGTCGAGTGAGAGCTTATGGCGAACTGTCATCGAAATTCTTTACCTCAACTGGTGTCTGTCAGGGATGTCCACTTTCTCCATTCTTGTTTAATTTTATCATAGACATGCTCCTAGACATAACATTATCCTCGTCTGAATTTTCAGGAGTAGACCTTCTACCAGGTGGCTCGCTTATTGACTTAGAATATGCCGATGACATAGTCCTACTTGGCGAAGACGCTGACAAAATGCAGAGACTTCTGACCACTCTAAGCAACAATGCAAGCATGTTCGGGATGCGGTATTCCCCCTTGAAATGCAAAATGTTGCTTCATGATTGGCTTGCATCGGCACCTGAACTAGTGATAGGGAGTGAAGTAGTCGAACGTGTAGACCGCTTCATTTATCTTGAGTCTCAGCGCTGATGGCCTGGTGACTGACGAAATCTCAGAACGGATACAGAAGGCTCGATTGGCTTTTGCCAACCTGCGTCACTTATGGCGTAGGCGAGATATCCGTTTGCTGACCAAAGGACGAGTGTACTGTGCAGTAGTTCGCTCCGTCTTACTTTATGGCTGTGAAACATAGCCAGAGAGAGTAGAAGATATTCGTAGGTTACTGGTTTTCGATCATAGGTGTCTTCGAAGCATTGCTCGTATATCGTGGGACACCCGAGTGAGTAACGCTGTTATTAGGAAACGGGTGCTAGGTATGATGGCATATCATTAGATGACGTAGTGAAACTTCATCAGTTGAGGTGGTTGGGACATGTGTTACGTACGCCTAACCACCGACTGCCGTGACGAGCTTTGTTTTGTAGTGTAGGAATAGGTTGGAAGAAAGCTAGAGGCGGCCAAACCAAAACATGGCAGAAATCCATGAAGTCATTGACAAGTGGACTGAGCCATGTCGGTAGTTGTCGACTACGTGGTTGGTGTCCGCAAGATGATAATAATCGATGGTTAGATACCCTGAATGACATGGCTCAAAACCGTTTGCAATAGCGCCGGTGCATTTATTCTTTGTGTTCTCTCAAATCCTAATCTTCTGGATTCCTCAACACCTCTAGTTTCGACTCTCTAAACTTATCTCATTGAATCATACTTCTTGAATATTATCTTCTAATCCTAACCTCTCTGATTACTTCTAATATCTTTACTACCTCTTCTATTATTGGATTTGAATTGACAATTATATCCCTGTGCTGATGTGGTATGACAACATGAACTGATGTATTTACGTACAAAGTACTACGTTGCATCTGACTGAATGTATATAGGTATCAATGAAAACGGTATTAATAATCCATCTTTTAGCGAGACTATCTCAGAAAAGGATGGTTGTATCATTCATTCTCAACCTAGGAGATTGGACTGGTGGACGTAACACTTCAGGATCAGTCCAAATGGCCTTCAGCGACATTTCGGTTGCCCACGTTCTCGAGTCAACATGAATCGCAAATCCATGTAATTCCTCCGACTCCTAATGAAGTTTTGGGCTGCCTGGTTGGGGTTCGCGAGACGAAAGTCACCGATGGTTAGAGACTTAGAAAGACATGGCTCTTGGCCCTTGGTGGGCACCCTTACCGCCCGAGACGGAAATCTGCGAGGTGTGACATTTTTGAGGTCGAACTTTTCTAACCCCTTCCTTCCTTGCGAGAGGGCAGCATCGCTGCAGATGCTGGTTGTCCGAGGCAAATACCTTACTGCTGTCACACCCCTCTACAATCAGCAGTACGACATCACCCTCAGACCTCGAGTAGCTACTTTTAGTCTCATTGTTTTCCAATCGACCTGCCTGTCATGGTAGGACCTACAGGAACATATGTTCCAGCTAGTATAGCTCGGTTGGGTCATCACTATAGGCAATCCCGACCACCACGTCAAGGTAGCCGCTACAGTCGGGATCTAAGGCAATAAGTCGATTTTGAATGCAATGCAGCTCTTGTTTACACTTAATGTTACATTTCTATTTTGTAGTTAATTTCTACTACGGTAATATATTCCCTAGAGACATTATTTTATGCTATAAGACAATTTTGAAACGTGATATTTTGGTTGGTATTAATAAACAGTTATTCACTCTAAATTTCAAACAGTAGCAGACATATCAGATGAACTCCAAATTTAAGCTTAATAAAGAGCGTATGGACAAGAGTTTTATAAATGTTCGATAGTAAATGTAAGTGCCCAACTCATGTTGAAAAATCTTTACAGCCAGGTAAGAAAGAATCAGTTGAGTTATGTGGGTTTATTTTTATCGCAAAAAGCTTAGATTAATAGCAAATAACCTCGAAACTTCTATCTAGTTGTGATAATTAGCCATAATCAGTGTAGTACTCGGCATATATGAATAGTATCTTCTAATCCTAACTTCTCTGATTACTTCTAATTCCCTTACTACCTCTACTACTATTGGATTTGAATTGACAATTATATCTCTGTGCTGATTTGGTATGGCAACATGAACTAATGTACTTACGTACCAAGTTCTACGTTGCATGTGACTGACTGACTGACTATATGAAGTTTGGCCTGAGTTGCCGTTTCGTATAAGAGCACAGTATGGGATATTAATTCCATGAGAAGCAAAGAAATTGAATCCATTTGGTGGTAACAATAATGAGGAAGACATTAGCAAAATGTTTCAAAACGACAGAATAAACAGGTATATATGTAGAAATACTGAAACAAAAGACCTAGAACTTCAATTTAATTCTCATTGTTAACCATCTCAATGGTAGACTTACCAATGCTGTCATTTTTGTTGATTTCAGGTAACATTCATGTTTTACTATGCCATTTTTCTACTTTTTTAGAACGCTACGGTTCAGACAATATCTGGTACTGGAGCCCTTAGAATTGGTGGATCTTTTATTGTAGGTGTTATCGTTTTATTGTAAATAAAATCTTTCTAGAATGCATTTGCAGAACAAAAACATATATGGATGCCGACACCTACTTGGGGAAACCATAAACCTATTTTCATGTAAGTTGATCATTTTTAGAAAATACATTTATTTATTATTGGACGTCGATTTTTGAAGCACAAGTTTATGATTACAATAGACGTGCAACTAAGATAATTAGAACAACACATATAAGCGAACAATACTGTTTTCAATTAAATCAGGTTTTACTCTAATATACATGAATATTTATATGAAAATGTTTGACCAATCAAGGCAATTTATTGGTTATTAATCACAATGAAATAGGTTACGTCACTATGTGATGCGAGCTACTTATAGGTAGTATATGACGTGAGTGTCAATGTAATGTCTGGCAGCAGAAGATGGGGGAAGATCAAGAAAGGAAGAGTGGGAACACAATGGAATTTGTATGAAATGCATGAATAAGTGAAATGTCAGACAATGGATTGATGATTGATTGAAGATTTGCAAATTAACCGTTTACGATATGGTTTTCCTATTTTACTGAGTAACCTTGTAATTTTCGTTAAATACAATTCGGTTGCCCCACCTATGTTCTCCTTCACTACAACTATACACATTAGATAAAAGTACAAGTGGGAAGACAGGTGTACCTACAGTATTATAGACTAGATGGACTTAAAATAATCATTACAAAATATTATAACAATTACGTAATAAGAATTAAACAGTGAAGAGTATAAACGAAAAGAAGCGGAAAATTACCAACAGTTACAGTATATGAAAATAATGCTAATAATAACAAAGATAAAAAATGAGTAAAATCGTTTACTAAGTTATATCCAGCCAAGGAAGAGACAGAAGTGTCACGAATTTCTTCTGAACACATAACTTGGGGTTAAATGTTAGAATTCCTGTGGCTTCTGCCACATATAGAAGACGGGGTCGAACTGCGTTGGGAAATGATGGAGATATACTATCAACTTTTAATTTTACGTATTACATGTAATGACGTAATCTATTTCATTATGATTATTGACTCCAATTGCCTTAATTGGTTTAACATTGATGTGTATTATAGAGTAAAGCGTGATAACAATCTAATTGCAAACAATATTATTCGTCTACATGTGTTGTTGTCCCTTTATCTGAAAGCGACTAATTCAATTCAGCTTAGCTACTGAACCTAGTGAGCGAGTTCACAGGTTCATGTACTTTCCTTTTAACTACTCATGTGTGTGTAGGCTACTAATATAACCCAGACCGAAGTAGCTATACTTTATGTACTGTATAGCTATCAAACATAGTCTATGAAAGTAAAGAACGTACATCTTCTGCAAGTTTTTAATAATAAGTATCTCCAAAACATTGTTAGCGTATTGTAGAAATATCGAGCAGGCGATGTTAAGGTTATGCATATACTACTAAGCAAAAAGGTCAAACCAGTTAATAAGACAATAAAACTTCATCAACTGAAGTTTCTGGGACATGTTTTACGTCTTCTTAACCATTGCCTACCTCATTATACATTGTTGACTAGTGTGTGAGTTGGTTGGAGCAAAGCTAGATGCTGTTAAATCTGCCACTAGTTATTGAAGTCGTCAACTATTGATCTTAGCTATGTTAGTAAATGTAGATTACTTTGTTGGAGTGTATGTGATAACGACACTGAGTTGTTGCAGTCTTCAAGTGATACGGTCTGGGATCACTCGTAACAGCCCAGATGCATTCACTATTTTTATCTAGATCTTGAATCCCATTATTCCTTCATATATATATCTTTTCATCTCATCATTCAAAACCATATTCTTAACGTTTTTTTCATTATCACCGTAACAAAATTATTTCCGCTCCATTTTTATTTATCCTATTAATTTCATCTAGCTTCACTTATATAAAATGTAGGGACTTGGGCTAATATGCATTTTTCCCAGGCTCTGCCTTGATTATGACTGCTTAAACTACTAGAACAGTGTCTAATTGACTACAACACTTAATTTTCAACCACAATGGCATACTGGAACATACGTCACTTGACCTATTACAATTTATCAATAGCCTCTACATAATCACTATAACTTCAATTCGTTTATTTAAATTCAAACTTGATAAATAAATTAGATGACTAAGTCAATGTTCTAACCTAAAATCCATTGTTTAAATATTCAATGTATGTTAACAAGTGAGCTATCACCGCACAAGAAAAACATGTATACAGCTTGTATACATGTTTTCTTGTCAGCAGTTATATAGGTTTGGAATACTTTTGTGTCAGAAACTCCATTCTTTTTTTTGATCTTTTTGAGTGATTATTTTGTATTGATTTATGGAAACGTTCATTTATTTATTTATTTAATCAAAATATAGAAACAGTGGACTTAATGTGCACGAATATCGTTATTACAATAGTAATACTTGTGGGCTCGATATAAATGGTTTTTTGTCTGATTTATCAAAAATTCCCAAAGGGCATTTTGTTTTATTGCATGCTTGTGCACACAATCCCACTGGTGTAGATCCGTCATTTGATCAATGGCAGAAAATTGGAGAGATTTTGCGGTCACGTGATTTAATTCCATTCTTTGACAGTGCTTATCAAGTATGTTGACAAAAATCACAGAACATTTTTTAATTGTCCATAGCCAACTAATTTGCTCTGAGCATTGAGCTATACCAATCATATTTTTTGTGGACATTGAAAATTTATTGAATTTGTTTAAATATTTCATTTTCTTAAAAAAACCAGTAGCCAGAATTTGTCATGAATAAAGGATTTTTGTTGTTGAATGAATAATATTTTTAATGATTGGAATGAATAGATAGTTCTGATCGATAAATAACATGTAATTTGACCAATTGATGACTCATCATGTGACTAAATTATTAACATGGGTCCCTATTTGACCTAATATCAGACGACAAGATAGTTTGCTCAGTAGAATAAGTTCTTTCTCACAGGATAGCACACTCATACATGCATAAAATAATGAACATATGAATCAATATTAGATAGAGGTCATCTGACATAAATGTCTGAAGAATATATCGCAGCTCTGGATTTAATGAAATTCAGGCTCAAAACGCTTTCTTCATTACATTGAAAAAAAGCTTCAAGATCTAGTTCATACGTCTAATATCTCTAATTGAGAATGGTGTTAAATGTAATACAAATTATTTACGAATTATGAATATCTTTAATCTGCATACTAAAACTGTTTGTTATAGTTAAAAAATTGTCTCGAAATTCCTATGAAAAGCTCATTTATTTATTAAAATAAAGAATTATTCATTGTAGTATCTATCATCTATTGTTTCTATTGTTTTCTAAAATGTTTATGAATTTATAACTACACAGGGATTTGCCTCTGGCAATATTGACAATGATGCAAAAGCAATACGTTATTTTACTGATGAATTAAATTTCCCAACTATATTACTTGCACAAAGTTTTGCTAAAAATATGGGATTATATGGTGAACGTGTTGGTGCTTTCACTTTACTATGTTCATCTCCTGATGAAGCTGAACGATGTTTATCACAACTTAAAATTATTATTCGACCAATGTATAGTAATCCACCGATTCATGGCGCACGTATTGCAGCAGAATTAATGTCTAATCTTGATCTACGTCGAAAATGGTAAGTTTTCGGGTTTCATGAACGTTTGTCAACAAACATCTTGGTTTACTTTCAGTTGATCTATTAATGATTGATAATATACAAAGTTTTCTTATTATTGTAGTAAATACAAGGTAAATTAATAAAATTGTGAAAATCGTAAAGTTAATGAACAAGCGAGAATTATATTTGATGTAAGATACGATTCAATAAACAAGACAATCGACGTGGACTTTATAAAATAATCGTTTTGATTTTACGGAGAATGTATTTAATAATTATTTTGGTCCCTCTCTCGTTTCACCACGTATCTAGTGACATTAAAAACTACAATTTCTAAAACATCTGCCTCATTTAGGTAGTGGGAATGGACTAACAATAGTCAGTTTTACACAGATATCTTTTGTTTAGCGATAGAATATTATGAACTGACCACCGAAGTTTTCTGTTTGAGTCAAAACATTGTCAAGTTATGGGTGGTGTGGAAGTTGCTAAGATGGAAATCGTAAAACTTATCCAAGACTCCGCAATCGGTAACCGAGCTTAGAGCCTTCGATGTCCGACGAATACTTATTCTCTAGACAACTGATCCATGGTCTAATGGTTCACTAGTCTATCTCCAGCCAACTCACGAAATTGCGCAACCATCTTCCATTGTCTTCGATAGGTACCTTCCTCATTCAGGATACGATCGAATCCCATTGGTCACAACCTCTCGCTAGAATTCAAGGACTTTCCTTTCGAAGATAGTCACTAATGGGCACGTGGTAATTGTCAGTATGGCATTTTGTAGATTGTTGAATTTTTTATAATTGAATTGCTTACTGCATACGTATTTGTAAAATCTATAACGTGACTCCTTCCATTCGGAATTAGTTATCCCAAGGGTAAAGGGATGCGTAACTATTTCCACTCCGTGAGTTTTACTGAATTTTCATCGTGGTTAAAATATGTATTTGGGTTAGCCAGTCAAGTAACGTAGAACTTCAGAGAAAAGTGCACCAGTCCAGGTCCTTGCACCAAATCTACACAATAAGAGGCTAGAATAGTAGGAAAATTAATAATATCAGTGATATTGGATGGATGATTTAATCCGAGAAGAAACAGTCTACAAAACAAATGACATGATTCAATTTTAAACTTCATGATCCTAGGGAAAACAATAAGTTGTTCTGCATCATCGTGTTTGACTCAACCATATCAACCAATTTAAGCAGTCAAATATTGAATAAAATTTCAATTCTGAAAATTCATCACAGAAATTAGTCTCAGTTATGGTTAATCCTCAATGTATGATCAAAATAATTAGGGCATATCGGAATTCCTCTTGTATATATGAAGTATGTAAGAGAAAACTACAGCAGTAGTCTTACTGGATTTTATTCTGAACCATGTCAGATAACATCTGAAGTCAGTGAGCTGGACGGTCTCTGGGATCCTAACCAGGGATTGGTGATGGGCAAGCAGAGCTTAACCGAAACAATTTTCTTTCTCATCACACTGCCATGTCATAAACTGATCACCTCTTCATCTACTCAGTCTCAATTTTGGGAATTGATGCGCAATAAAGAAGCCATTCAGATGGTGTTCTTAGAACATACCCAAACCGCCGGTATCACACTAAATTGTTATAATGATTGCGTGTGAAATGGATATTAAACCATGCAGACTTCGCTCGACTTTTACAGTTTAATCCATTCGTCTGTTCAATACATTTATTTTATTACCTATTTACAAAAAAAGGCTCATTGATTTAAAATCTATGGCTGATCGTATTATAACAATGCGTCAAAGTTTAAAAAATTGTCTAATCAAAGCAGGATCTCATCATGATTGGTCACATATCACTAATCAAATTGGAATGTTCTGCTATTCTGGGCTTAATCCATCACAGGTGAGTTTTAATATTATAATTATTGTTACAGTGCAATATAATTGACTCAAATTGTTGTATTTGATAAGATACACTGAAAATAAATCATATTCAAGATTAGCATTTCTTGTCTTTGAACATAAATGTCTTAAAATTGACGGCGAACGTTCACCTATTGATTAGAATACAGATATATCACGATATTGTTTAATAATGATTTTAACAAAGTGCATAGTCTTCTGATCGTCTTGAGTAATAATACAATTATATTTGAAAGGTGCTTTTCTCTTAAAATGTAAAATGTTGTTTCGGAATGGTCTGAATAATCTAGATCAATCATCGAGAAAAAGTAGTTAGTTGAGTTTACCTATTGGTTTATCAGTACAGGTTGTGGAAATTGTTGAACTGTATTGACACCATGAACCGATGCAAACTAGATAACCTTTGTAAACCTTCATGGTTGATACACAGCAGTCCCATCTGTTTTACTTTATGACTCTCATATTTTGGAATTGCCAAGTTAGTTATGTTGAGTTTAGGCAAAGGGTACCAAGCAAGGTTGGCATATAGGCTGACAGTGTTGTACATCTTCATCAACTAAAGTGTTTCAGACATGCGGGGCATTTGTAAAACCAGTGAATACTTTAACGGGCAGCGATGGTCAGTGTATTAGTATGTTGAAAATAAGCTGGGTGTGGCCAAATCATAATGGACATGAAGTCACTGACAATTGGACTAAACCAGACTATCTTGTTGATGTCCGCCCGTTAACGGTGATTATTGGTAGGAGAAGTTGTTTGGAATCGGTCTCAGTGGCCCAGAAGCATTCACTGATTGTCTTCAGACTCTGGATTCCTCTGTATATATACACTCATTTTGTTTAGTTTGTTTGGTAGAAAAGTATATAGTATGTGAAGCTACGTAGTTAATAATAAAGTGGAGCAATCTCTAACTTAACTACTTGTATTTTGGGAAGAATAATCTTGTAGTGCATGTACTTCTATGTCGAACCTGCGAGGCTTGTCCCAACCTTCGGAAATATTAACTAATCCATTCTACCTGAGTTTCTATTTTCTCGTCTCTTAACCATGTCAACTTTTTTATTTTATCTTGATTATTTCTATTCGATTATGTGTGTGCATTGCTTACTTTGCTTATTACATGTCTAGTTTACTTTTGTCTGACTATAAATGCTTAGTCATACTTCATCGTATAGGAGTTGTCTCGCTCGCCTTCTCCACTTCGCTTCACTTTACTTTAATGCTTTGTATTCTTATGTCTGTTTGCATGAACAATTGCCTGAAATAAACTCATCCAACTGAATCCGTAAATGGCTTCTAATTACCGCCGTCGCACAAACAGGATTCCCCTAGGTATTATAATATACGGAAACTGAAGGGGTGGTTTATTTCATAGAATATATTTAATTGTTCATAAATATCAGAATCTAACGCAGTTCACTAAAATATTTATGTTATGGTAATAATAATAAAAGCGGCATTTGACTCTGTTGATCGTGAGGTTCTGTGGCAGTGTCTGTCATTGAAAGGTGTACCAGAGAACTACATTAACCTTATACAAGCTCTCTACTCGAACACCACTGGTCGAGTGAGAGCTTATGGCGAACTGTCACCGGAACTCTTCACTTCAAGTGGTGTCCGTCAGGGATGTCCACTTTCTCCATTCTTGTTTAATTTTATCATAGACATGCTCCTAGAAATAACCTTATCCTCGTCTGAATTTTCAGGAGTAGACCTTTTACCGGGTGGCTCGTTTATTGACAGAATATGCCGATGACATAGTCCTACTTGGTGAAGACGCTGACAAAGTTCAGAGTCTTCTGACTACCCTAAGCAACAATGCAAGCATTTTCGGGATGCGGTTTTCCCCCTCGAAATGCAAAATGTTGCTTCAAGATTGGGTTGCATCGGCACCTGAACTAGTGATAGGGATTGAAGTAGTCGAACGTGTAGACCGCTTCACTTATCTAGGGAGTCTCATCAGTTCCGATGGCCTGGTGACTGACGAAATCTCAGCTCGGATACAGAAGGCTCGATTGGCTTTTGCCAACCTGCGTCACTTATGGTGTAGGCGAGATATCCGTTTGCTGACTAAAGGACGAGTTTACTGCGCACTAGTTCGCTCCGTCTTATTTTATGGCTGTGAAACATGGGCAGTGAGAGTAGAAGATATTCGTCGGTTACTGGTTTTCGATCACAGGTGTCTTCGAAGCATTGCTCGTATATCGTGGGACAACCGAGTGAGCAACGCTGTTATTAGGAATCGGGTGCTAGGTAAGAATGGCGGATCAATCGATGAAGTATTGAAACTTCATCAGTTGAGGTGGTTGGGACATGTGTTGCGTATGCCTAACCACCGACTGCCTCGACGAGCTTTGTTTTGTAGTGTAGGAGTAGATTGGAAGAAAGTTAGGGGCGGCCAAACCAAAACATGGCATAAATCCATGAAGTCATTGACGAGTGGACTTAGCCATGTCCGTAATTGTCAACTACGTGGTTGGTGTCCGCGAGATGATAATAATCGATGGTTAGAGACCTTGAATGACATGGCTCAAAACCGTTCGCAATGGCGCCGGTGCATTTATTCTTTGTGTTCTCTCAAATCCTAATCTTCTGGATTCTTCAACGTCTCTATTTTTGACTTTCTAAACTTTTCTCACTGAATCATACTTCTTGAATAATATCTTCTAATCCTAACCTCTCTGATTACTTCTAATATCTTTACTACCTCTTCTACTATTGGATTTGAATTGACAATTATATCTCTGTGCTGATGCGGTATGGCAACATGAACTGATGTACTTGTGTACGAAGTTCTACATTGCATCTGACTGACTGAATAATAATAATAATAATGCAAAATTATGTATGTGTAGAGGACCTAATTTTGGTGAATATTATTGAACCCAACCCAATTATAGAGAATCGTTGGCTTGTTGCAGTAACTCAATGGTGGATCACTTATTTTCAATTATTTTTTTCACTTTAACATTTCAGGTTGAAAAATTGACCAATGAATATTCAATTTATTTAACTAAAGATGGACGTATTAGTATTGCTGGTTTATCATCGACAAATGTCGAGTATTTAGCGCATGCTATACATCAAGTTACGAAATAATTGCAAGTATGCAATGGAAATCTTTGTCTACTATTTTTTTTTCATTGCTGTTATTATTATTAAGTTAAGCGTACACATTATGGTGAAATAATTTCAAACGTAGTTAAATGCTTTGTCGTATGCTTCGTCCATTCCTAATTGTTTTGTGGTGTGTATCAATGGTAATGTATATTATCATGATTATTAAACATATTTGTTTTCACTATAACTGATCATTTTGTTATAAACCACCCAAGTATAAACCGGTTTATAATCATAATAATCATTGTGCTTTTTTCCTCTTTTCTATTTTGATAGAAATTTTTATAGCTATTTGCTTAAAACCATGTCTATGTAACAGCGCTTGCAATATTTTTTTTAAATAATCACTGCTTTTTCAATGTAAAGTCTTTTTTTTCTACATGCGTTTCATGTTGTAACATCATACCGTTGACTTGATTCTTATTATAGTGTACTTGTGAAGGTGCTAAATTTCGACAGATCTAAAAGATTTACAGTCAAACATAATTGATGAGTACTGTATTATTTAAAGTCTCTAACTAATGCCTGCCTAAGTACAGGATATTGACTAGTGTAAAAGTTGGATGGAAGAAGGTTAGAGATGAGGAAATCAGGCTACACGTTTACAATGTAACTAATGAATCGTGATATCCCACCAGAAACACCATCTTTATTTTGTCTTCTCGAATCATATTCTCAACACTTTGATTTTATCGCTATCATTATCTCTTATCCATTCCTATTCGTCTTCATAATCGTGTTGATTACGACTGACTGAATCGTTGCCTCATATCGTAACTAGTCGTCTTGTTTAGTAACTCATTTCGTACATATGTATAGATGTGAGATATACAAATATCTTTAAAATTTGTCAGCATATTCATTACATATAACAATTTGGTCGAATGATTTAGTTGTTGAGAATGTTAAAACCGTTAAAAGTAATTTTTATGATGTACTATTTTATTACAGCTGTATGTAAAGTGAAATCATGATGTAATCTAATGTTTCGATCATACTTTTGTAATATAATGTTTGTTATGTAATCAAACGCACTAATTAGATGATAGTGACGTGAAACGACTATTTCCTGAACTCGTCCATCAATTTACTCTCCAATCGTGACATATCTGACTTGTCAGTCATTGTTGCACCATTCCCATTAAAATTGATTTGATGCACTGTTGTGTTCTTTGTTCTGATCAATCGTTTCGTACATAATTAATGAACTTTCCTCTGTATTAATTAGTTAAATTACTAACCATGATCATTTAGTGATACGACTCTCTATGCCTTTACTCAAGTATATTGTCTGCAAGAGTGAACATATTTCTTAATGAAGTTTATTCACATTTCCATCTTAGGGTTAATATGTTAACCATTAGCCTTAGAAAAGACCTTCTATTCGAAAGTCCCGACCGTAGCTGCTACCTTAATGTGGTGGTCAGGATTGCCTATCGTGATGACCCAACCGAACTATACTGGCTGGAACATATGATCCTGAAGGTTCTACCATACCAGGCAGGTCGGTTGGAAAACGATAAGACTAAAAACAGCTACCCAAGGTCTGAGGGCGATGTCGTACTGCTGACTGCAGAGGGGTGTGACAGCAGTAAGGTGTTTCCCTCGGAAAACCAGCATCTACAGCAATGCTGCATTCTGGTAAGGAAGGAAGGGTTAGAAAAGGTCGACCCTAAGAATGTCACACCTCACCTTACCTCACGGATTTCCGTCTCCATCGGTAAGGGTGCCCACTAAGGGCATTCAAGAGCGGAGCTAATACTCAAAGATCCTTTCATAAAAATACCGTGCGTGACCGGCCTCAAGCAGTTGTCCCTTGGACTCTGCAGTCACGCTCCCAGGTCTCTAAGACCAACACTAATCTACTTTCCTTTTCGGGTTCCTCGAGAAACACCTTTCCACGGTGTGGGCAGCCAGGAAGTGTTAACCGCCCTCATACCCGTAACAGCACACGAGACCAAATTGGCCAAAGTCAGATCCTTCCTACGCCCACACAAACATCTCTTCTCTCCACAACTAACTCTTCTCACATTCTTATCTCCCCGCACCTCTGCTGCAAACGACTCGAGTCCTCGAAACGTTATTCCTGGTCTCTTGAAGCTCCGTTCTAAACTACATGTTGGAGTATTTAATGTAGGGACATTGTGTCAAATAGAGCAACAGGCTTCATTAGCTAGGACTTTACAATCTCGTGCCATCGATGTATGCTGCGTCTCGGAAACTCGCATACAGGATCCTAGTAAAATTATTAACCTGATTTCACCTTGTCAAAATAAAGAAGCAACTTGATTTACTCTTCGTGTATCTGGAAGCCCTGATGCTGCTTCCAGAGGTCTTGCTGACATAGGTAAAGCACTGGGTTGTAGAGCCGAACAATCTCTACCAGACTGGATCCCAGTAGGGTTTTACTTAATGATAATAGGGCGAAAAATATATTTCAGGAACAACTAGAAAGACAGTTAGGCGACCATTTAAGCGATTCCCATCCGGAAGCAGGATTGAATGATATCAAAAAGGCTGTGGAAACAGCAGTGATATCTTTTAGTAAGGTAAACCATAAGGCTAGGATGAAGCCGTGGATCTCAATAGCATCTACCGAACTGATGGATGCTCGAAAACTCATCCCGCCTGGCTCTGAGTGCGATGAGGAGCGGAGTCAGCTTAGACGTAGACTGACAAAAAGCCTACGCAATGATCGAGAACAGTGGTGGGTGGAGAAAGCGAGAGAGATGGTTAAGGCAACGGCGATCGGCAACAGTAGACAACTTTTCCGACTTATCAAGGAAACTAGTATTAGGAACCCGAATGTACTTACTTACGCCTGCTACCCCCAATGGAGCATAGGCCGCCCACCAGTTTTCTCCAACCAACTCTGTCCTGGGCTTCCCTCTCCAGTTCTGTCCAATGTTCATTCCTCACATAGAACCCTCAAGGCAAAAGGTGAAGAGGAAGGCCAAAGAATACATTACGCCGAGAAATAGAGAAAGGAACCCGAATGTGAGTGAAACTATTTCGGAAAAGGATGGTCTTATTATCCATTCTCAATCCAGGAGACTGGACCGATAGGCGGAACACTTTAGGGATCATTTCAACTGGCCTCGAGCCACTCTTCGGTTACCCACGATCTCCAGTCATCCTGAATGGCAAATCGACGTAAGTCCACCTAGTCTTTACGAAGTTGAGAAAGCTATGGGCAATCTGAGGCGAGGGCGAGCTGCAGGTCCTGATAGACTGACCTCTGAGATATTTAGGGATGGTGGTCCAGTTTTAGCAGCTAGGTTGACTGAAATCTTGGGTAGAATCTAGGAACTGGACATAATCCCACCCGACTGATCTCAATCAGTGATTGTCCCAATTTATAAGAAAGGACAAAAGCCTTCTTGCGACAATCACAGGGGAATAAGTCTAACTAATATAGTATCGAAAATATTGGCCTCAGTAATACTTCGACGCTTAACGAAAGCTCGTGAAGAGCAGACTAGAGAAAACCAGTCTGGTTTTCGACCTGGACGTGGCTGTATAGGCCATGTCTTCACACCACGACAGGCCCTGGAACACAGGCACACATTTAGGTGTCCTACAATAGTTGTTTTCTTGGACCTAAAAGCGGCATTTGACTCTGTGAATCGTGATGTTTTGTGGCAGTGTGTCATTGAAAGGTGTACCAAAGAAGTACATTAACCTCATACAAGCTCTCTACTCAAGCACCACTGGTCTGGTGAAAGCTTATGGCGAACTGTCACCGGAACTCTTCACTTCAAGTGGTGTCCGTCAGGGATGTCCACTCTCTCCATTCTTGTTTAATTTTATCATAGACATGCTACTAGAAATAACCTTATCCTCGTCTGAATTTTCTGGAGTAGACCTATTACCAGGTGGCTCGTTTATTGACTTAGAATATGCCGATGACATAGTCCTACTTGGTGAAGACGCTGACAAAGTTCAGAGTCTTCTGGCCACCCTAAGCAACAATGCAAGCATTTTCGGGATGCGGTTTTCCCCCTCGAAATGCAATATGTTGCTTCAGGATTGGGTTGCATCGGCACCTGAACTAGTGATAGGGAGTGAAGTAGTCCAACGTGTAGACCGCTTCACTTATCTTGGGAGTCTGATCAGCGCTGATGGCCTGGTGACTGACGAAATCTCAGCTCGGATACAGAAAGCTCGATTGGCTTTTGCCAACCTGCGCCACTTATGGCGAAGGCGAGATATCCGTTAGCTGACTAAAGGACGAGTGTACTGTGCAGTAGTTCGCTCCGTCTGACTTTATGGTTGTGAAACATGGCCAATGAGAGTAGAAGATATTCGTAGGTTACTGGTTTTGGATCATGTGTCTTCGAAGCATTGCTCGTATATCCTGGGACACCCGAGTGAGCAACGCTGTTATTAGGAAACGGGTGCTAGGTAAGAATGGCAGATCAATAGATGAAGTAATGAAACTTCATCAGTTGAGGCATTTGCTGCGTATGCCTAACCACCGACTGCCTCGACAAGCTTTTTTTTGTAGTGTTGGAGTATGTTGGAAGAATGTTGGAAGATAGTTAGGGGCGGCCAAACCAAAACATGGCAGAAATTCATGAAGTCATTGACGAGTGGACTTAGCCATGTCGGTAGTTGTCGACTACGTGGTTGGATTCTTCAACGCCTCTATTTTTGACTTTCTAAACTTTTCCCACTGAATCACACTTCTTGAATAATATCTTCTCATCCTAACCCCTCCGATTACTTCTAATACCTTTACTACCTCTACCTCTACTACTATTGAATTTGAATTGACAATTATATCTCTGTGCTGATGTGGTATGGCAACATGAACTGATGTACTTACGTACGAAGTTCTACGTTGCATCTTACTGACTATTCGAAAGTTCGAATTAATGCCAGGAAGATGAATAAGTGAACACGGTGTTGTATATCATAGGAAGTAAATTCATTGGATTTCCAACTAATCCCAAGTAATAACGGTGTCTATCATTCGTAACTAGTATTCAAAGATTGTTCATTATAAAGCTTTGAGCTAGTAAAACAATGCTTCCGTAAATCGACTTCAAAAATAACACAAGTACAACATAAAAATTGTATGCATTAATTTTTAATTATGCCGACATATTTACAGACTAAGAATCAAATGTCTCTTTTTGCAGGTTCAAAAGTTCATTCGCTGTTGTTATTAATAGAACCCTAGTCAATAAAATATTCTGTAACGTAGAAATATTAGTAAAAGCCACCAAAAGAACAGGCACACTTGTCTGTTTGTTTAATCAGAAATTGGATATTAGTAACGCAAGTGTATTGAAACGAAGAAATCAGGGTTAGCAAAAGTTTGTTCACAATATTATTAATCCTATCATGTGGTTGTATGTGGTCAGCAAGAAACATCGTCTAAGCTGGTATTCATCATCAAAGCGAACATTCAGTCTTAAGGAGACTGATTCAATGAGTCACACAACTCCACGATCTAAGATATCATCAGTGGGCTATTGTTGCCGCAACCCAACGTCTGTCTTAACATGGTTCACATAATGTCGAGTCTCTTAAACTAGCTTATCCACATAGACCAACTCAATGATTAGTAAGCTGTTATTAAGTTAGTTCATTATATGTGGTGCATCCAGTCCAAACGATCTTTACCTACTGACCAAATACAAGCATCACACTTTAATCTTACAAAGTTGTATGACCAATCATATTTATTATTGAACACATTATTTAAAGGTTGAGAACGACCGTTTACCTGACTTTATTTTATCATGAATAAAAGACTGGAATTTTGATGTGAATCCGAAAAAAATTCTGTACAAGTTATATTTAATTCGTTTTAATTACATACAATATTGTTCTCAAGCATATCCAAGAAAGAAAAAAATACTAAAAACAAATTAAATATGTCACAAATTAAGCTAAGTAATCATTTGTTTTATCTTCTTCCGGATCTTCTTCTAACTCATCAGAATCCACATCAAGATCTTCTTGATCAATTTTATCATCACACTCTGAGTTGACCCCAGTATTTATCGGTTGATCATCAAATGACTGATGATCAGTATCTAAATGTCGACTACGTATTTGGCCTTTATGACGACGATTCACAAAGACTGGTGCAGTAGTACACGAACTTTCATTATGTTGATTAGATGAAGGTAATGGATCATCAGTGGAACTTTGTGATTCATCTGTATCGGGTGTGTAGAAACAACTCTCCAAACGTACTTCCGATTTTGGTACATTCTCTTCAACAAGACGAGCTCGTTTTCTACCTTGAGTTGGACGAAACAATATTCGATTGTTATGACGTGAATTTTTTGTACTAGTTTCATCATCTTGTACAGTTTCTGAACTGTTTCGAGATTCTCGCAATTCATTTATCAAAGCCATAGCGATTGAGTTATCACTTACGCTAGCATCTTCATCAATATCAGCTAAACTATAATGTGTCCATTTACTAGGATCTCGATGCGTATAATTCGGTCGACGATGTGTTGATGGTGGAAGAGCGTTAGGTTTTCGGAAAGTTGGATTTTGTATTTGACATGGTGTTTTCTGTTCTTTACTACCAGACATCTGAACATGATCACGCTAAAAATAAAATATAATTTCAAAGGGTGAGTAAAATTTTACAAATATTAAAAAAAATTATTTGTAAATTGAGCAGTAAAATCGATTTTATTTCAATACAACAACAGAACTGAAGCAATATTCAAATAGGCATTTAAAATTTAACTATTCTACTTTCATACAAAACATTTAATAGCAATCAATATCTGAAGGATTGAACAACCAAAAACAACACACACTGTATGAGTGACCCAGTTTCTTCTTGACACATTGAATAGATTGTGTTATTCAGCTAAGAAAGTTTCTTGTTTTATACACTTTACATTTGTCTGTAATGATTTATTATTTAACATAAGAATTATTACAAAGTAATAAAATTAAATATCAATTTATTAAATAATTTATATCATACACTAATTTTAGTCAAACAACAATTGAAAACCAAGATGTTATGGAAATCTGTTTTGATCCTTGCATGGAACTGCTCAACAGTGCATACCCACAGTACCATTGTAGATTATTATACAGAGAACAGAAACTTCAATAAAACAAGTTGGTATCATACGCTTTATATATTGAATTTTGATCAATCTAGTCAGTTAGTCAGTTACAGCGTAGAAATTCGTACGTACTTACATCACAGTTCAGGTTGCTATAACACATAAGCACAGAAACGCAATTGTCAGTTCAAATCCCATAGTAGTAGAGGTAGTAGAAGTATTAGCAGTAATCGGAGAGATTAGGGTTCAAAGATATTATTCAAGAAGTAGAATCTAGTGAAATAAACTTAAAAGGAATTAAGAATGTTAGGATTTGAGGACACAAAGAGTGGATGCACCTGCGCCATTGCAAACGGTTTTGAACCATGTCATTCAGGGTCTCTGACCATCGATGACTATCATCTCGCGGGCCCCAACTAGGTAGTCGACACATACCAACACGACTCAATCCAGTTGCCAGTGGCTTCATGGATTTGTGCCATGTTTTGTTTTGGTTGACCCTAGGTTTCTTCCAACCTAATCCTACACCACACCACTTCAACTGATGAAGTTTCACTACATTATCTATTGATCTGCCATCCTTACCTATTACCTGTATCCTAGCAACAGTTGATCAATCTATGTTGGTTAGCAACCATTTTTCAATATCATCAATGTGTAATTGTCTCACATTTGGCATAATTTAACTCCAACTATCATGACTTTTCACAAACACTGGGAAATCACCACCTAGAATGAGTCACCAGTTTGCATATGATTATTATTAATAAGGAGTTTTGAGAAGTTTAAAGGTTAGATCATAGGCTCATCACTTTAGTCAAACAACGATTGGAAACAAATTAATGACAATCAAAGTGATCTTACAACCAAATGTATTACTTACGGTAGCCAAAGTAACATTACTAAGAACTTGTTATTGTTTTAAGTTGTTAAAAAAACCTAAATAGGCAATTTTTTAAGAAATCCACGACTCCCCACATGGTTGGTTCGACTGACCAGTCATAGCAATGCAGAAACTGGCGAAAATTTACATTAACCCACGTTCCTATCAGCACGAATTAACAACATTCATAGGATCGGAGTAATCTCAATAACAATGATAGTAGGAAAGATTGAGATGAGAAAGGAGAACCATGAATGGATACTAAACTCGAGATGTAAAAAACAAGCTCATCTGTTCTGTGCTAGTTATTTTGCGCCATGATACCTGGCCAGTCCCATTGTGATGTAGTTTCGTTCTCTGAGCTGGATTTGCTAGCTGTGGAGCATTCATAGACAAACATAGGATCGAGAAACAAATAAAAGTGGACACAATCAAAATAAACGTGCAGACAACGACAGGTCTAAGGTCAATGACGACCAATCAAGATCGAGGTCAATAGAACAAGCTACGAGTCGAACGTGAAGAAATTTGAATACCTGAAGTGCGTGCTGATGATGTTGTTCAGAGGAACAATGAAAGCTTCACAACCAAAACATTCAGCTCGGAGATTGAAACTTCATCACAATCATCCAACTGAGATAAAACATTTCTTCACCAACCAGTCTCAAAACATCAATTACAGTTACTGCATTAGCTGTAACTGCACAGATCAGTAATTCAGTAGACTGCTGCTTACTTGGTTTGACAATCAATAATTTCTCCCAAACTTATTCTTACCTCCACCCAACATTACGCATCGACAGAGACGGAGTTCGAGCACATAGGGCATATGTCTCAACAGCTTCAGTTAACAAAGTTTTATTCCCGAACAAACAAACTAATAGAGTATGAATGATCTTCACTTTTGAATGTCCAGATTACACCGGGCATCTGAGTGATAATTAAAATATTCAATCTATAAAATACAAACGAATATCCTACCAACGCCACAGGTGGTGTAATTTTTCGAAACTCAATGAATAATAATAAAATCTTCGTACTTTTCGAATTTCAGGGTACCTTTAAATAACAAACAAGCAGCGGAATTTACTAGTTTACTTTAGACTACTTAATAAATCGGAAGTAATTCGGAAAGTCAAACTCTAGAAATAAGGATTTTAAACGATCATGTTCATTTGATAACTGACAAAAATCAATAGTATAGAATGAACAAACCACACCACAAAACTGATAGACATTAAGGAACGTAAACATAATTGTTTAGAAGTATAAAGAATCAAAGTATAGTATTTTTTTACACAACTACTCTAGATGGGTTTTTACAGTAGCTCGACTCAAATTATTTTACTTTCTAGTATAATTCAAATTGAATAACAGAAATAAATATAGAAAAGCATGAGTTGAGCTAAGAATGGAATTGATTTATGTTATTAAAGAACACTAATGTGATTTAACTAAGCAATCATATATGTGGAAGAAATACAAGTGATAATTTGATAAGTTCGTCATTCTACAAGCTCCTCATTCTCTTCAATAAGTCAGTCAGTTATAAAAAAGAATATAGAGCCTGTGATGTACATTAGTACAAGCGCTGCCACATCATAAATCAACCCATTGAGTTGGATTAATCACGTCAGATGTTAGAGGAGCAGAAATAATAGGGGTATCAATGGTGGTAGTGTTAAGATATTCATCCAATATCCTAAGAGAATTATTGGTCAATTCCTATTGGTTAATTCCTACTGGTCAATTTTATGGTTGTCCTAGATATCAATGTCACGTGCTCCAATGTTGTTTCTTATTGGCTGTCCTGACTATCAATGTCACAGACTTCGATGCTGTTTCTCATTCGACCAAAATGTATAAATACGCATTATCTGTAACGCTTTAGGACCATGACCCGGATCCGTAGTCCGGGATCCTGATTCTCCTCTGGATTCGGACCTCGTACTTTCTGGATGCTTGTAGAATACAGGTTCTACTTCATATCAAGTCTTCTTATTTTTGCTCGATATGGGGGTTGGGATAATCGGATTGAGTAGCATGTCGTGTCGCCGGATCCTCGATCCTCGCTCTCGCGTTTCCGACTAGGCAAACTCGTAATAGTTCAAGCATATCAAAATGACGTGTTTACGTGCAGGCGTAACAGGTACTAACATGGATTAAAAATTTACAATGTTATTTGAGAATAAATGGATTCGTGGGATAAAAACGTGTAGAATAATTTTAACATGAAGGGTCTGAGGAAAAAGTAAGAAAGAAATAATTTTGAGGTATTGAAATCGATTTTGAGTCATGTCACTTAAAGTTACTAAACATTATATAAAATAACCAAGCCAATCCTAACCAGGTAATAGTGGGTATTAATCTACACGCCCAAGTTCAAAAATCAATGATTTTATGGAGTGATGTCACATCTTGGTTTTACCTACGCTGGTATTCTTCCAATCTACTTCTGCATCAAGTTAGGTGATGGTTTAGTTATCATTTAATCAAAGTAAGAGCATAATTTAAGACACGTCTCAAATATAATATCAAACAATAAAATGTCTAACATACAACAATTTAAAACACTTACACGTTCTTTTAACTCCGCTAAATTTTCTGGTGCAGTAATTGTATGTCGCCAAGCTGCTTTACGTACAGCTTTACGTTCTTCTTTTGTAGCTTTGTACACTTCAAGATGAGCTGCTTCTAGGTTAGCTAGTGCAGAAAAAACATCTGATTGCCTTTGACGAAACGTCTCATTTGAACCTTCAATAGGAGTTAGTATTTTAGTTGAGGAAATCGATGAGAAGTTTTGTTGTTGTATTGCATCATCATTACTAACAACATGATCCATAGAACAAGACATCTGATCAGATAATATTGGTTCCTGCATGTGTAAAATAGTTGATGAAAATCAATCAATGGTGCAACAGTTATTCATGTTTAGGAGTATCAAAAACAAATTGAATACTAAACAATTCACATGATGATAACATAAATTTGGCTTTCAGGTCTTCTCTATCGATATAGGGAAATTTCTAAATTTCATAAACAACACCCTGACATGAAAAAGCAGTAAAACTTTTCTGATTCTAGCTATGCACGCGTGGCCATATGTCGACATTCCTACCTCGGTCGTATCGCGGCATTTGGGGGCCAGCGGGTTGGTATTCAGTGATTCACATTTATTACTTCGATCAACTTGCATTACTGAACAGCTGTTTTTCAATATCATTAGCGAATAACTGCCCTAAACCACATGTGTTTGAATCCCACTGGTCACGGCTTCTCACTCAAACTCCGAGAAGTACCCCTCAAGATAAGTCACTAGTGAGCATAATATTCTATATCTGAAGACAAATTATAATCACAGATTGACATCAATTAGAGAAATAACGGGGGGATAGGCAAAATACTGAATAACAATTTTATTGTTATTCAAAAAAACTTGGCAGTTTATACTGGTGATCACACATACAGGCAGTGAGGTTGACCAGTTATTGGTAACGTTGGATGACTATCGCACTACATTATAAGTAGATTGGAGTTTGAAATTGTAAATCACTACATTACATAACTCAGCAATTGAATACGAGGATGTGAGCACTGTGCACTAATGGGAAGCTTTCAACTGAGAGTAAAACAGTCGCTTGGTCCTGCGTGATTTGTCTTTCAACACTAATTTTCCAGCCATGACCACTTAATTATACGAAAACTACTTGCAAATACAAAAGATTTCCAGCAGGTAACCGACAGTTTATCTTGTTCTTATCAGTTAGAAAGTGTTGTATAACAGAATCATATCTCGCGAAAACTGCAACTGTATTTATCATGTCTCTCGATCGTAGCTGCTAATTAACATGGCGGCCGTGTTTGCGAATCTTGACGACTTAATCAAGTTATATTGGCTATAATATTATTTTGAATGCCACCATATCGGATAGAATGCTTGGATAACAGTAAGACTGAAATCAGCGAATTCATAGTCCGAAGGCGGAACTGTACTGCAGATTGTAGTGTTTCCCTCAAGCAACCGGCATCTGGTGTGCAGTTGGGTACACATAACAAAGGAATCAGAAAAGGCAGACACTCAACCTTGTCCGTGGATTCCAGCCATCGGTAATAAAACATTTACAGTACAGGATTAACTAGCCTAAAACTAGTCACGAAAAGGTTATTTATGTGACCAGACTCGAGTAGTTGTCCCTTGAGATCTGGAGTCACTCTCCAAGGTTTTCAAAACCACTCCAAGTAGTCTTCTTTGTTGGTACATCGAGAAGTATTCTTCCAGTATGAGCAACTGCGAAGTGATAATCAACCTCATATCTGTGGAACCACTCGTGGCTAATTCGTTTGCAATTAATCCAAGTTGATTGGAATGTAGTAAAAATGGGTCCATATCACGACAGTTCACACCAGAGCAGAGAGAAACTAAATCGACAATATGAAAATCAATAGGATTAAAATAACAATAACAGTACTGGAACTCTGAAAAGCATAAAGGAATGGACGAGAGATGAAAGCTAGGCAACAAAAGGTTTGGGTTAGTAATTTCAAAACTTAAGAGGAAAAAGAAGAGCGGGTGCATTTAGGTTGCTCTGATCGATTGTTTTCTCGTCAATCTAGATCCGAAAAACATTTATAACAACTGAATGGTGACTTTCTTAACTAACATCTTATAACAGTCTGGCCACAACTAGCTTTTTATAATCCTAATCTAAGCTAATCAGTATAGCACAATGATGTAAAAGTTGGTTAGGTAATTCTTCACAAAATGATAGGTTTGTTGTAGCTAAATTATCATCCAAACAAATACAGACAAACGAATTTTTGAAAAAAACGACAGATAGCAAGTCAAGTTTGATATTTCATTGATAAAAAAATATGTACAAAGAAAAACGAATTTCAGTAATGAGATGGAGGGGCAAAGTCTGCAACTCGTTTTTCACGTTCTTCTTGAATGTAGCGCTGTGCTGAAATCATTGATTTTCCTTTATCCCATTCTCTTTGTTTAGTACCATAGGATGGACGGCTTGAATTCTGAGATGCTAGTACATCAGCTAAGTTTGTTCTGCGTTCGGGTTCAGGGTCAGGAGGGGCGTTGTTTGTTGATTCATTCAGTTTATTATTATTGATAGCAGCTCTTTGTTCAGCTTCATCGCGTAATCTCCGCAGCATAGATGCAACATCCAGATCATCGTTGCTCAAACGAATATCAGACTGGGCATCTGCGCCTATCGGAGTAGGTGTTGCAGGAACTGCAGCCTCTCCTAAACACTGTGCAGCGGCTGTTGCTACATCTGGTAGGCCTTTACGGGCACGCAAGCGTGCAAGACGTTGACCCATTTTAGCATCTCGTTTTGCTCGAATCGCTTCAGCTCGAGCACGTCCTTCTTCAGTGGCCCGATGAAGTTCTCTCAAGCGATTCATCTCAGCCTCTCTTTGTTCAGGATCTGCAGAAAACGAATAGAATCCAACACCATGATCACGTATTTCTCCTTCTCTCAAATGAGCATATGTTAGTGGACCATCTGGTTTCGGTGGATCAGATTGTTTGATGTGACTTGATAGGTCTTTACGCATGCAAACTCGTTTAATACCACGTTCATCCGTATAGTCTTCCCATTCTTCATCACTACAACCAGCTGGATAATTATCAGAATTTTCATCGCTACTAAATGAAGAACAAGAGCGTGTAGGAGAGTGCGGAGGAACTAGGTCTAAATTTTCTGTAGCTTTTTGCTCAAAATCAACCAGAATGTCTCCATCATCTTCATCTCTTTTTGTTAAACTAGATTTTTTTCCGGACATTGCAGCTTCTCGAAGAGCGTCGTACAGTTTCGCTTTAGCTTCTAATGCTCTCCTACTTTTTTCCCACTCTGCATATTCTTCAGTATCTGAAGGTATATTTTCAGATTCCAATCTTGTACGCTCTTCTAATATTTGTTCTTTTGAAGTTTTCCAAAGTGATACTTTACCAGGCTTTAATTCAGCAGAACGATTTCTAATAACATTACAACCATCTGGATGTTTTTCAACTCTTTGTTTGACTTCAATTTGTCTTCTTGATATTTCCGCCTTTAGGTCTACTAGTGCAACTGAGCTTACTTCGATATGATGTCTAGATTTATAGGCCATCACCTGAAAAAAATATTTACCAGAAGAAATTATAAATTATACAAAATTTATAGGGAGTGATTTTTCAAGATTCATAGCAAGATCATATACTTAAGAAAACAATGATGCGATTCGATTCGAAAACTTTTGGCAAATATCTACCAACTTGTGCGATAGAAGTGAATCTCACTGGTGATCATTTACAGCGAACAACCCAGATAACAATGGTAATTAGAATAATGTTCCAAACCTGGGTTATTCTTCCTTAAGTAGTCAGTCGCATCAAGCACAAGTACTTCGAATTTGAAAATGAAATTGCTTTCAATAAACATTTACAGTATTTCCTGTAAACACCATGGATTTATTTAGAACTTTGATAAATAAAGGTTTATTTCGTAGAAATGGGGATGATAAGAAATTTCTGCTCATATGAACAGTCAACTCAAGAAACTTTGGCAATTTTATATTTGTACGAATGAGTATCACTAAATCATTGTTGATTGTTCAACTCTGTAATACATTTTATGATATTGTAAATGTATCCGTAAAGCAATTTACGGATTACTTTATGTTAGTTACAACTCAGTTCAGTGCACACAAATCTAACTGAAAATCAGTTAGGTGTTAAACAGAGCCTTGTTTAACGTCTTCATGTTGTTGCCTGATTCGTGTGACTCAAGGGTCGAAGTGGTCAGTACCAGTTATGCGCCGAAGTATTTTTGGAGGGAGTAATAAGTCATTGTCTGGATGAGTTTTTGTGTTTTTATCAGTGTGATGGAAAGTATAATGGTTTTCAGACATAAAGCATTAACTGTGCTTCTCTCGATCGCGACACTATACTGCCAACAAAACTTTAACAAGTAGTTGAATAGACAAATGATCTTTATTCCATTGAAACACACAAATATTAGTACAGTGTGGCACCTAAGTGTTTATGCGCCACACAAATTAATGAATTTGTGTGTGAGTCGGGATACTGTCCAGATCCCCTAACCGAAGCAGGTGGTTTACATAGGCGGCCACTCTCTAAGCCTCTAACCAACAGGTCTAGTCCACAAGGTGATGGAACAACGTCAGAGGATGCAGTCCCATGGTAGACAGTCAGTAATCAAAGGCTCATATGCCATTTCCTCCTTAGAATCCTGGAGGCCATGTAAACCATTGGTTTGGAATCAGGTTTCCTTCAACTTTGTCAGCTGGATTTTCTGCACCCACTAACCCAGTGTAAGTGCCGAACATTCGCTTTTCGTCCTTTAAATTTCATAAACAACACCCTAACACGAAAAGGCAGTGAGTAGGACCCTGAAGCAACGTTTTGCATTTCCAGGGGGAATACCGCATCCCGAACATGCTTGCATTGTTGTTCAGGGTAGTCAGAAGACTCTGCATTTTGTCAGCGTCTTCACCGAATAGGACCATGTCATCAGCAAACTCTAAGTCGGCAAGCGTATCTCTTGGCAAATGGCAACTCCTGAAAAGTCAGACGAAGATAAAGTTAACTCAGAAAGCATGTCTACAACAAAGTTAGACAGGAATGGGGAGTGGACATCCCTGAAGGACAACACTTGAAGTGAAGAATTTCGATGACAGTTCGCCATAGGCTCTCACTCGACAAGTGGTGTTCGAGTAGAGAGCTTGTTTAAGGTTAATGTCAGTAGGTCAGTCAGTTGCATGCATAGAGTCAAATAGGGCAACAGGCTTTCCTAGTTAGCACCTTAGAATCTCGCCCCATCGACGTATGCAGCGTCTCGAAAACGCGCATACAGGATCCGAGT